CTCGGCCATTCCAATTACCACACCCATCTCATTTTTTGTTTATGTTACCCCTCACTTTTTTAAATAAAAATTTAACACTTAAAATGCTCTTGTGTACAAATATGCCTGTCCCTAATTCGGAGGCAACTTAGTATTCATATGACAACTATTCAGAATTGCAACAACAACATGACATGTTTAATTTGTCAAAGCATGTTATTGACTCCCTTCATTTACATGTACATATACTATCACAAAAATGCATTTTTATGCTAAATAGCAAAAATCACAATTTTTCCTCTTCTATATTTTATAAAGTCTTTAACACATGTAAGCAATGTGTGATCATGTTATGTTGTCTAAATTGCCTCATTATGGTGACCCCTGCAAAAGGGGTGTACTTTTAAGGAAATCACATTTCCTTCCTCTTTTTCATAATTGCAAACACTGATTTTATCCGCTTCTGATGATACAAGAAATCTGAATTCTTATCATATCTACTGCAATTGTAATACAGTCAAACCTGTCTATAGCGACCACCCAAGGGAAACACAAAAAGTGGCCTTTCGTAGACAGGTTCCTTTAGTACATGATTCAATGAGAAACCATTTTAAAGGGAAACAACAAATGTGGCCTTTGTAGACAGGTGGTCAGTAAAGCAGGTTTGACTGTATATCCAAAATCCAAAATTTTATAGCATACATCAAAGAAGGTTGAAGACATTAAATCATTACCTTCTTCAAGGCATATTCGAGCTCATCCTGGCGGTACGCTGGGTTGATGTTGACCAGGATAGCACCTATCCTAGCGGTGGCAAACTGAGTGAGAACCCACTCAAGGGTACTGGGCCCCCAGATACCCACGCAGTCATCCCTCCCGACACCAGTAGCTAGCAATCCAGCTGCCAGTCGGTCACACTGAAAGACAAGCAGTAATGTTTAGACTGGCAGAAGATAAAGTGAAATGGAGAGATGTTGCAGTCAACCTCCGAACCAGGAGATTGAGGAGAAGATACTTAGATAGATAGATAAATTTTTAGACTGTCATTCATTTATCTATTAATTTTATCATTCCAAAAAATGGTTTGGTTATGAATATGCACAGTCCTTATTCAGTATAAAGGTTTACAATGCACACATGATACATACTGTAGACTTTAATATCATTTTTGTTGTATAAAGTATATAGTTTTTGAAGTGGTACTGGTCAACTGCTATTGTCAAATCATAAATACTCATATAATCATTCTATCATCATATTCCATTTTCTGGATCCACATTCTTTGTTTCCATGAGAGTATTGTATGAGCCACTCATTATGTAATAACAGAGCTCAGTAATTATCTGAATACAAATTAACCCTAATAATAGTACATATTGTAAACCACAGTGTGTATTAGTCAGGTAAGGGAAGGAAGCTGGGTCAGGGTCTTTTCAAGTTGCACTTTTCCTTTCCAAGGGTGCATGATCAGGTTAATCTTCATCTTCTATGATTCAAGTTGAGTGCTGATCACTTTAAAGTGCTTAATATAAAGGGCTTTTTCAGCTGCAGCACCTTCTCTTTGGAATAATTTACCATTTAATTTGAGAATCGTAACTTCCTTAGAGACCTTTAAATCCATGCTGAAATCTCATCTTTTTTAACAATACCTGTACTTGGAGCTATGACACTCATCCAAACTCTGTTATTCTTTCTATTTTTCTAGTGCGCCTCGGAATAGAATTGTCTAGATAGACGGCGCTATAATACTACATAAATGCCTTATATCATTAAATAACCAATACCTACATTGTATCTTACATTGCTGACAGTGGCATATCATGTCCAAGAAATCAAATTTGGTACTGTATGGACTAAATTAAATACTTCTTTTTTTTTCCTTTTCAAGACAAAAACATGTACACAATTTTTAATGATCTTAATAATAAATCTGGATATATAAAGCGATTAATAAATCTTAAAAATCTCTAGGCACTTTACAGATATTATCACTACCCTGGCCCGGCATTGCATTTATCCAAGCATTCTACATGTATGTGTGCCCCATGGGAATAATCCTACCATATAATCACTGTGAAGGCATATACAGTGCGTCCCAGAAAAAAAGAAACTGAGAATTCTGAATTAGTATCGATGTTTTATCATAACTTAATTACAATTATAATTGATAAATGGCACATATTTGTAAAGCTTAGATCCTCCTCTTTCATTTGATGCAACTCATATGATGCATATGTCACGCATGAGTGATTAAAATATTATGCGATTTGATAATTTCATGTTTCGTGCACGCAAAAGTTTTGTTTTTACAATATTCAGTATAGTACTTTTACTACTTTCTCACCTCTTCTCTAAATTGTGAAAATGTTCTTCTAACTTTGTCTCTGGAGAAGACAACATACTCTCTGTCTGGGAACTTCTCAGTTGTATCGTCCACTATCTGACCGATGGTCTTCCCTAGGAGGGGCAGAGCGGGGTCAGCCTGGCGGTAGCTTAGATTATGAACACAACTGAAACAGAAAGGATAGAATCGTTTTATATTAGTTCAGGGCAATTATAACAACCTGTAGAGGAAAGTTATATTCATGCAATGAAAGATAAAAGGGCACAAGCAATCAACAATTAAATATAGAATGCTTGGCTTTGGGTACTATTCTATTCTATATTTTTTTTTAAATATAGAATCTAGACTATATTGGTCTTAAGCCCCGCTACTACTCACTACTAGCTACTTGATAACTTGACGAGTAAACTGACTAGCTGACTAGCTGTCATGACCAATGTTCAAATTTCCACATTTGAGACATTTCAAACTTCAAAGTAGCAACATTCAATCTTTATGATGTAACTTTAAAACTTTAGACTTTAGTTAGCCTTTTAAATTATCAATATCATGCGCAGATTCAGAGACAGCTAGAGAAAGGCAAAAGCCAAATTGCAATAGAAAAAACAGGAAAGCAAAACAGAATAAGGGGGATATGACAGAATAAATCAAACAGGAGAGGTAGAGAGAAAACAAATGTTCAGAAAATAAGATAAATATTTGTCTTAGCAACTTTACCTAGTGGTGGATAGACAGCGGCTTGTTAACGCTACCGTAAGGCGATAACAGTCCAGCCCGGAGCTTGGGCATGGTGGGGTGGCACTAGTGGTGGTAGATGAGAGGCCCACAGCTCCAGCGGAGGAGACACGCCTCCCGTGTTGTGCGAAGGTTCGGAATCGGAGCATTATCGTTTATTTTCTGAAGCTTGCCAACTAAATCGAATTAACGAAATGATATAAGTATGTATTGGCACGACGATTCCTGCAGATTTGTTGTAATGGCCATAAACATTGACCTCGTAAAATTACTTAATAAATTGCTCTCTCCAGCTCCACTTCATACGTACACCAGTGCAATCCCAGGCCAGGGTTCTAGGGAGCTCTGTTAGGTGTAGTCTGATATTCATCCGCCGCTGTGTGCTTTAAAAATATGGTTCACATGATCTGACCAATAAACTTCCTGATATGACGTTCTACTTAAAATATTTTTGTTCATCCTTTAAAAGAATTTAAACATAGATAAGATCCTCACAATACTAGAGGCCTATAATCCATTGGCATCATCTTTTTTTTTTTTTTTTTTTTTTTTTTTATAATTAAATTTTTTATAATTTTTTGGGGACGGGGGGGGGGGGGGGGGGGGGGGCACGTCCCTGTTTTGCAATACATTTTGGGCGAATTTAGGGCTAATTTTAACATTTTTTTTTTGGTCGGGGGGGGGGGCATGTGCCCCCCCCCCCCCTCCTGGATCCGCCACTGGTATATAATTCAATATTTATGACACCTTTCATTCTTCAGTTTTGCTCCTCTTTCTCCGACACTGCATTTTACCTCTATATCTCTCTCCTTTTCAGACTGACTCTTTCCTTCTCTTTCTCTCTCTCTCTCTCTCTCCCTCTCTCTCTCTCTTTCTCTCAATCTGTCATTCCTTATATCAGTCAAACTCTTTCTCTCTCTCTGAAGTATTTATCTCTTTCTTTCTTCCTTTCTCTTTCTCCCTCTTTCTATATGTTTCTTCCTCTATCATTGTCTCTTCTTTTCTATCACCTCTCTTCCTTTTATTGCCATAAATGAACACAACTATCTTTCCTTATTATTGATACAATATGAGCCTAGAATTTGTATGACAAATATAATTTTTTTTTATTGCATGTGTTTAGAACAAAGACAAATTTTTTTCAAATGAAAAAGGTAAACAAAATAAACAAAATGGAGAAAAAAATGGAGAAAAAAAGAAAATAATAACTGCCTATATTACAATATCACATAAAACCATCATGACTGGAAGAAATTTTCTGAAAGAATAGAATCTCTCTAAAAAAAAATTTATAAAGTCAAAAGATTTGTAACCTCAGATTAAAATAAACAGCATCCCCTTTTGGGTTAAATATTAGTTTTGAACTGTGCTGTAAATGATTTATATTTGTAGAAAATACTGATGTTAAGAAGTCACACAACTAATTACTATGAAAAAATTGTTCAGGAAAAAAAGATATTCCAACTTCATTCAAAATTGCATTATTAGTTGTGTTTGAGGTAGAGCCTACATGGTTCTGGCATCTTTGTACTTTGTAAATATCAATAGCATCAAATAGTACATGTACATGATTAAGATCTCTTAATAACTCAATGTAGGTCCATTATCTTCAAGCAGCCTTAAACATCAATTGCAAATACATAAGGCAGAAATATAGACATTTCAATACATTTTAATACACATTACAATATAATTTATATTTAAAAGTTGATTAGTTTGTGTCAACATGAAATATCAGGATATTTTGTTCAATTTGTACAGACTAAATATCTTTTTTCATACTTGACAGTCAAAAATTTAGCGGCATCAATATTTCATATATGACATCAAGATATAGAAATTTTAACAGATTACATAGCAATTTAATTTATAAAACTTCAATTGAGTCAAGACTTTCCATATATATATTAGCATCAATATTATTTTTATCTTTTTTTTTTTCGGCAACAAAATGAAATATTTCTGGATTGAACATACTTTGCAAGTCATGCACTAATACCATACTCACTATAAACTCAATAAGACAATCAAATTGTCATCACTATTTAATATTATTACATGTATTGCAAGGTGCATCCATTCTCACTTTAAGTAGAAAGGTATCAATATTCATTAAATTACAATTTTTGCTAGATGCATACTTTTACATGGGACAGATAATAATCAGGCTTAGAGCAAATTCTCACATCAGCAAAGTCATTTTTTTTAATTGATAAAGAACAAGAGCTTTGAGCTAATCAGATATCATGACAATTTGATTGCCAATTTTAGACTCTACTATCACCATGCAAATATTTTGAATATTTTATAACACGAGAAAGAAAGAGTTTGGATTTCTACACAGATATAAGATTTTACTGAATAACTGTCCATGTCTCAACAAAATTGGAATGTTGACTGAAACCTCTATTATATTTGAATACATGCCATTTAAAGAGAACGTTAAGCAAAGACACATTAGCAAGTCATTCCAAGCCAACTTCTTCTAAGTAGAAAACATTGCTCAGTCAGAATCAAACTGTTAATCTGTAAGGGTTTGTATGCTCAAATGGCTTGAATTTTGTTTGTGTGTATCATAACGATTTAATATTAAGACATAATAATCCAAACAAAATGAATTGTGATATCATACCATCAGGTTTTCTCTTTTTTTTTGTGTGTGTGTCTGCTATAAGCTACCATTTCACACAAGTTTGGCCTTGAAAGATCTCAGTGAACATCAAAGATCTGTACTACAGCATTTTGGAGTAGGACAAAATATTCATATACCGGTAAAAGGACGACTGCAACCTGTTGTGTCCGTCTTGAAACCTGCATATATTGTGGGGAAAAGATTGAAAAAATCTATTATTACCCCTGCAAATCACAGCTTACAATAATAGAGAATTAAGCCCATCACACACAATAAACCGTGATTTGAGTTTTAGAGAAATTTTAATTGCATTAGCTATGGAACATTGTGATTGATTGTAGCTCTGAATGATATGAATATCAAAGAATTAAAACTTAGTACATTAACAAACCATCTGGTAACAGTAAAGTCTCTAAATTGGCTTTAAATCTTAGACAATATCTCTATAATTAGACTAATAATTAAAAAAATAAATAATAGAAACAAGAAATCAAAAACTTTTCGCATATCATCTAAACCTAAAATTGGGATTGCATTTACGTCTTTCATATTTCTTGGACTTGCTCACTGGAAATTAACAAAATACAAACTAAATATTATTTTCATTAATTTAACCAGAAACTAGATGGAAATTTGACTGCGCCCAGTCGAAAATGATGCCTCCGTCATAGAGCAATTTTTCAAATTCAAGTTCGATTGTAATCCATTAACAGGTTCTCAGAATATCGTGATTACAAGCTTTTTCTCATGTACATGTATGACCCTTTGATCTTTGACCTCATGCCCCCCAAATCTACTCATTGGCTCATTGGCTCTGCAAGATACATACATTACATGTCTTGAGTTTGATGGTAATCCATCCATCGGTATTAATGATAATGTGATCACAAGCTATTTTTGCATACATAATGAGCCCTGTGACCTTTGACCTATGACCTTGTGACCCCAAAATCTAATCAATTAATTGGCTCTGCAAGATAGATACATGACCTGAGTTTGGCCGGAATCCATCAATCAGTTCTTGTGATAACGCGATCACTAGCTATTTTTGCATACATTATGAGCCCTGTGACCTTTGAACTATGACCTTGTGACCCTAAAATCTGATCAATTAATTGGCTCTGCAAGATACATATATGACCTAAGTTTGGCTGGAATCCATCCATCGGTTCTAATGATAATGTGATCACAAGCTATTTTTGCATACATAATGAGCCCTGTGACCTTTGACCTATGACCCCAATATCTAATCAATTAATTGGCTCTGCAAGATACATACATGAACTAAGTAGGGCAGGAATCCATCAGTCGGTTCTTGAGATAACGCGATCACGAGAACGGGAGGTACGGACGGACGGACGGACAACCCGAAAACATAATGCCTCCGGCTACTTCGTAACGGAGGCATACAAAAATGAATAAAATCTTACCATCAAAGAAGAACCGGAAAATAATTGAATCAACATTTTTCGTTCTGACTTGAGCGTTGGCAAAGAGAGTGGGTCGTACGCCATATGCCATGGCAGCCATGTGGATGATTTCTGGGTCGTTCTTGAAAGGGTAGATGGAAACATCCATAGCTCCTAAGAGAGAGGGGAAAACATTTGATAATCAAGTTAAGTTCTGTAAAGCTGTCTTAAAGCCTTACTGCACAACTTATAGCTACTGGGCCCTGTAAATAGCAAACAATGCCCAATCGGTGCCTGCTGGCCCCCATAATCCCCTTTTTCTTGTGTTAATTGAGAGCTGATTTGATGAGATAACCACCTGTCAGTGATCTTGCAGGGAGGTCTAATTCCTTCTGGCAAAACTAGTGCAGACAGGCTTTAAGAAAGACAGTATTGGCAAAATCGGTTAAGATGAAATGCTGAAAGGAAATCTTAGAATATATGTTTTATAAAGAGCATCATCAAATTTTGAAGAATAATTAGTAAATGTACTTGCAAATGCATGAATTTTGCTCAAGTTAAATGCTTCATGCTTCTGTGTATGAACAGTGATTTAACTGGCTTAACTTCAGAATATCCTACCATGACAGTACAATGTATTAGGGTCAGGAGTAGGTTAAGAATTAGGTTCAGGGTCAGAGTTAGGGCTGGGGTCAGGTTTAGGGTCAGAGTTAGGGCTGGGGTCAGGTTTAGGGTCAGAGTTAGGGCCGGGGTCAGGTTTAGAGTTAGGGCTGGGGTCAGGTTGAGGGTCAGAGTTAGGGCTGGGGTCAGGTTTAGGGTCAGAGTTAGGGCTAGGGTCAGGTTCAGGGCCAGAGTTAGGGCTGGGGTCAGGTTCAGGGTCAGAGTTAGAGCTGGGGTTGGGTTTAGGGTCAGAGTTATGGCTGGGGTCCGGGTCAGGTTCAGGGTCAGAGTTAGGGCTGGGGTTAGGTTCAGGGTCAGAGTTAGGGCTGGGGTCAGGTTTAGGGTCAGAGTTAGGGCTGGGGTCAGGTTTAGGGTCAGAGTTAGGGCTGGGTCAGGTTCAGGGTCAGAGTTAAGGCTGGGGTCAGGTTCAGGGTCAGAGTTAGGGCTGGGGTTAGGTTCAGGGTCAGAGTTAGGGCTGGGGTCAGGTTTAGGGTCAGAGTTAGGGCTGGGGTTAGGTTCAGGGTCAGAGTTAGGGCTGGGGTTAGGTTCAGGGTCAGAGTTAGGGCTGGGGTCAGGTTTAGGGTCAGAGTTAGGGCTGGGGTTAGGTTCAGGGTCAGAGTTAGGGCTGGGGTTAGGTTCAGGGTCAGAGTTAGGGCTGGGGTCAGGTTTAGGGTCAAGATTACATTTAACATTAGGGTCAGGGGTTACTTGCATTATAGAAGCATCCTGCAGTTATTTCCAACTTCAAGTCAGTAACTTGGTCTACTGTTGCTAACCTTCTAGCGGAATTGTGTGGATGACCTGAAACTTTTGCATGCCCTCGTAGCGGAAGATATTCACTGTGCTGGTTCGGTTGATGACCACCAGGAAGAGCTGGTCGTGGAGCACCACAAACTCCAAGGACTTGACTCGGAAAGCAGGGAGCTCTTGCCAGAGGTCTACCTGAGATTCACCATCAGCATCATAGACATAGCTGTATGTCACAGGAAAAATTAGATCGTTAACAATTTGCACTAGAAAATTCTGAACTTTTCACATCATACTTGTCACTATTCAGTCATATTTACAATGTACTCTTTACCGTAACACAGAAATCTTTACTATTGACATATTTCTCCACTATTCTCGCCATATGTACTTTTCATGTTTCTCAGTATTCACACTGAAATGGTATTCAAAATCATATACCGCATATGAGGATATTGCTACTGACTGCTGGGCAGTATAGCGGAAAATATTGATCGGACATAGTTCTGCTTGTGCATACAATGCAACTACCAAATGAATAAGCGTGAAATATAGAGCTAAAAGTCAGAGATGCAAACTCAACAAAAAAAGTACACTCCTAATACTCAAATCAATGTATCAGATATTAAGATTTGATAGTAAAGTGCAATTACTTTGTTAAATCTATAAAATCACTATTTTTTTTTTGCAGTCTTGTAATCCACGAATAGAGTAAGATTTACGTCCAGAAAATACGCCACTTACGTGTATATAGAAACAGGCACGTCATAGTTTTCAAACTCCAACTGACCCTCAAATTCATTGGCAAAGGCCACAAAGTAGGTCCCATGGAACTCCATGACAGCCACGTCTGCTGCAGCGGTCGTGGTGATGACTACTTCCTTGAAAAAGTCACCCCAGATAGCTGACTCTACCATGAAGGTTCTCTTTGATGTGTCCAGTCGGTTAGCCACAGCCAGATGAAGGATGCCCTCGTAGACGAAGGGATGAATCTGAGAAGGATGAAGAGAAAAGAAAAACTGATTACCCTTTCAATGAAAAACATGATACACAGGCTTGTTTCTTCTCATAAAAAGAAACATTAATCATGAAAAATACAACAGTCTTGATATAATCAAATAAATTTAGCAGAATGATAATTTTTTCTTCACAACCACTGATAAAGAATGAAATCTGCAGTTCGCTATCTAGCTGAACAATTTTCTTGATCTTTAATATTCAAAACAGTGATTATACTCATCTGCTATAGGCTTCATTCCATCAATGATATATGGGTAAGGGCGCCTGTTGCAATTGGATCTTAGGTTACGTTTAGGATGAGGTTTACACTACTGTAGGTGTTTGCTTGGTCCAGGGTTGAAATTGCATGAAAAGGTTATGGAGCTGTTGTAAATGAACCAGTGTTGTAGAACCTTTGCATTTTCATCACTTGTTTTGTTGGTTTTGTATAAAGGCATTGTTTAACAATGTTAAATCTGAGATGCATGGCCCTACGTGTTATCAGTGTCTGTGATATGGGGTAATATTGAAGCCCTAAAAAAATTGCGCTTCAAAATGATCATGAAGTGCCTCAAAAAAGTAAAAAGCTTTGAGTGACCAGTTTTACCATACTCATTTTCCCAAATAGACTGTAGTCTTATGAAAACCGTTAAGAAAACAAATTTTCAAATTTCGATTTCCAATCATAAATACCTTGATAATAAGACATGCGATCGGCTTGTAAAAGTCATGGGGTTCCTGACTGACCTAAAGGTTTATAATTATCATTGCATCATGAGCTAAATCCAGGATTTTGTTTCAGAATCTGAGACAAAGTCACCCAATCCCTTTAAGGAAATAGCATCTCCTACCTTGACAGCTCCCAGAGTGTTTATGACGTTGTTGTGGTTGAAACCAGATGCCACAAACTCCATGCAGTACACTGCTGATTGGACCTCGGAGGTCACATTACCAGAGACCACGGCCTTATGGTTGGCTATGGCCAAACAGGGTTGGCTTGTCTGCGGGTCGGTGTAGTGGTCGACGGACACAGAGCCCACCCCAGCGAGACGTTGGTAGACGAAAAATTGGTCCACGAGAGGGGCCCACACGATGATGAGAATGAAGCGGTCTGTGATTCCCTCAAAGGCTGCCGGGATAACTGTACAAAGACATGAAATATTACAGAACCTTCATTACATACCTGGTGAAATGATTACACCAGGGCTCCCTCAGTAATTTGTTGAAAGGGAGCCGGACTGAACTTTTTAAGGTCTCTATGTATGAGCCCTATGTAAAAAAAAAAATCATAATTTGGGGGTCTGGCATTTAGATTTTGTGCGTGGGCACTTGCTAGTGTCAGGCCTGGATTATAAACAATGGAAGGCGGAAGCCTATGAAAACAACAGACACGACATTCGACAACCAGAGGCGTAGCATAAGTCACCTATTGAGGGGACAGTGGAACAATTGGGAGGGGGGGGGGCACCATCCTCACTTGGAAAATGAAATGCAGATTTACAAGGCCTCTGATTACTGGCATTAGTGCGGGGTTTAATTGCATAAAACTGACCATTGACGTTAACTTTGGCATTATTGGTAACTTCCATGTAAACAATGATTTGATTGGCTGTTGAGTGATGTTGCCATGGTAGTTAATATTGATAGCAAAGTTACCATCAATGGTAGGTTTTATGCAATGGGCCCAGGTGTTAATGTTGTTGTCCTTTCCCCCTTTTTCTCTTTTCTTGCTTTTCTTGCTTTTTTCACCACTCAATGGGTGGTGGGGGCAGGTCATTGTTTACCTAAATTGGACTGCAGTCAGATCATAAAGTTTGCAGTGGATTTTTTAGGGCAAAATAGAGAAATACGTCACTGATCATTTAACATTTGCTCCTGCAGCATTTACTTTGTGCTTTATTTCATCAAAGATATAGAGTAAAGATATGTAGACTAGGGTAAGATATACTGTTTGGTCCAAAATTTAAGCTAGGGGTAGGAAATGACCACAGAACAATTATCAACACACCATACATTGTTCAGATATTAAGCGGTAAACCGATGACATAAAGTGTAATATTCTTCACATTTCTATATTTCATGACACAAAGCTCAGAAAATTCAGTAACACATACATAAACTATGGCATTTTATCGCATCACATCTGAAAGAGCATTTAGAATCATATCAATACTTTACCATCCAGGTTATAGGCGTTATATCTAAATGGTTCAAGACTGAGCGGGAGGAAGTTTAGCTCTTCACAGCCTCTGGCAACGTTTGAGGTGATGACAGCCATGAACAGCCAACCCTCGTGATCAAAAAATGCAACATCGTGAATGTACGCCAGCTTGAGTGTCTGCATGAAGTAAAAACAATCATAATACTATTAAATTAATACCATTACTAAATTAATGCTCTTATATTCATCACAATCTGAACAAGGCTTAATGAATCAATATAATAAAAGCAGATAGATATAAAGATACTTTGTAGATGGTATGATTAACAAGGTAGAAAAGAAAGGACCACGAACCTTTTGCATATTAGCCCATCAAATGCCATGAGCTTATAGTCATTGTAATTTGTTAATTAAATCAATTTTATTTGGATTTAAAGGTACTATGTCCCATTTGCAGGCCAAAAAAATGAAAAAGTTAAATTCCAACTGCATTTGAAAGATAACACTTATTTAGAACATCCCTAAAAAAGGTGGGGCTTGAAAATGTCTTCAAGTGGGAAAAAATGACTATTAGTTGTCAAATCGACTTTAGGGCTATAGAGCCCAAAAGTAATAGTCTTGATTTTCAGACAATTGTACCGAATAGTCATACGTTTTATGCTGCGCAAAGATTCAATCAGTTTAATCTTGGCCATCAAAAGAAGTGGGTTATTGATGTAGACAAATGCTCATGTACCCTTTACAACTCTTTTCATGTATGTTAATACCAAAGAAGAAAAAAAGCCAGTCAGTCACTCAATAGTGTCTGACAGTTAAGTCTAGCAAGTAAACGAGTTTCCTTGCATAATTTGAATATGAGGACACTGCTAACGTTTAAATTTCACAGATAGGACATACATGACATATTCATAATTCCTGCAAAGTTCTACATAATTTGAGGTAGGCTGCAAAAGGGACATAGTACCTTTAAAACAAATGTTGAATTTTAACTTTGGCAGGGCGGGGGGGAAGGGGGGGAGGGCCTGAGATAGATCTTCGCCTGTGCCTTTTTTTTGTAAGTTTCTTCGTTTGATTATGACAGGTTTTTTTTTTATTTGGGGGGGGGGGGGTTGTATCCATCAAAATATTAAATATAGAAGTGGGATCAATGCGAGTGCATACACATACAGTTCATTTATCAGACTATTCACAGGTCACTTATAATTTCATTTTATAGAGTATGTAAACTTGCAATGTCTTTTTGGCAGAAGTAATCATAATGGAAGCAGAAATTTTTAAATATACTGTTCTTTAATTTCCAACATTCAATCATTTGACACAGGGTAGCATGTTTTCTCATCTGATTCAAATTCATTGGTTTTACATTGAAACCAAGATATATATTCTAAGCACTTTTCTCTGACACACACATCTCAAAAGCTAATATCTTACTTTATGAATGAATGATAATATTTTGTTAATATTTCCTATCTTTTCTTCCTTATCAATTTTTAAAAATTTAATTTTGACGTTTTTGTTATGTTTTTTGTTATGTTTTTCCTGTTATAATTTTTGATATTTTCTTACAATGTATAATATTGTATGTTATGTTTATATATGTTAAGGGGTCATTTTCTATAAGCCAATTTAGTGCTTTCCATGATCCCGCCACTATTATTCATATGTATATGTTATTGATTTGTAAATTGTGGAAATGAATTGAATTGAACTTTCATGAAATTGGAATGATAATAGATCTGACCTTAAACCTCTGAAATCTGTCATTAACGTCATTCCACTGGTAGATGAACGAATCCTGACATGAATTATCTGCAGTCGAGTCTAAGATGGGGTCACCCATAGCCTGGAATAGCCACTGGACCCCATCAAAATAGTACCCCCTCATCTTGCCACGCCCGTTGGTCTGGATGGTTTGGACCAGCTCTGGGTATCTCAAAATGTAGGCCTGGTCTACATGAGGACAAGGACCAATGAATAGAATTTTGAACATTGGATTCTAAAGCAACCATATTGTTTAGCATTTGTTTTAAGAACAGGTTTTAAAACATATACATGCAGTATGTACATGCATGGTTAGCCATCTTTGTGGATGACATAAGGCTTGATAGGAATGGAAAAATCCTGAACATAAATATTGAACATGTAGTAGTATCATTATCTATTTTATCAACAACAAAACTGTGCAAGCAAGAAAATGGGAATCGATACCATCAATGTTTCGTGTTAAGGATAATTTTCATCCATTGTATTAACAGTCAAATTATGCAAATTTAAAAATGATGCTTTCTGGTAATTGCCGGAAGCAAGATTTTGAAATGCAGCTGGTAAATCTGTAAAATAACAGATATATTGCTAGAATGTATAATAATCAACCTAAAATAAACTTTACCTGGCATTTCATAGGGCAATGAATGAAGAAAAAAAGAGTGATATTAGACCAAGTGTACAGAGCGCAAGTCCAACTTGGGCTCCCTGCCGCCCCTATTCTATGCGAGCGCGTATGGGTGAGTCTGTGGTAGTCTACTAACAAGTCACTTTTGTAGTCATCAAGAATATATTTATATGTACAGTATATCTCTTTATAGCAGTAATATTTTAAGATTAAATTTTATTATAGTATAGTCACATGGAACCCCTAACATATTATAGTATTAATGACTGCTTTGAGAGAAATAGTTGTTTTTATACGCTCAAGGGAAGGTTAGAATTGTGCTATTACCCGAGGCGTGCCGGGGGTGATAGCCCAATTGTAACCTTCCCGAGAGCGTATAAAAACAACTATTTCTCGAATATTAAAGCAGTCATTAATACTTTTATATGCCAAAAAAAACAACAAAAAAAACGAAAAAAAAAAAGAAAAAAGAAAAAAAAAACAACTTTTTTTGAAGATGGGATTCGATCTCTTGCGTACAAAAGGTGAGGTAACTAAAATCAGCGCTTTAAACCGCTCGGCTATCGCGCTCTGTTACCATTTATAGCAGTTTTTTCTTATACATACATTAAAATGGATTGAAACGGCTTCGCGTTGTGGATGCTTCGCGGCTGCTCCATTAAACAGGCCCTTCTTTTACTTTTGGAATGCATATTGGCACGAATTTAGATCAAGATCTATCGGCAGATGTTGTTTTTTTGTTTTTGGAAGTTTATTTTCGTCTTCATGTCAACAATGCAAGATAAAATTGTTGGTAAGATCGATCGAGATTCAATTGTATTGAAATTACCGACCAATTCTTCGCAGGTATCCTCGATCGCTCAGACCATTTTTTAACATGTAAACCTATGGGGTAACCATGGAGACTGACCTATTTTCCCAATAACCATGGTTATTGGGATTTTTAACTGTTTTTTAACCATGGTTACCGGGAATTTTCGGGAACAGTTAAAGTTTATGAATGCAATTTCGACCAATCAGATGGCTGGATTTCTTAAGTGAGGTATATAAAACACAATAATATTTTTGGGTGATTGGTACCTTTAAAAGTATAACTTATCCCAACATTCATGAATCCTACACACATGCACAAAAGATCATCTTACTCTGGAATGCATCATGCATGTCGTCAAGGAGATGACACTGGTCATCCAGGAAATCTTCAAAGTCGTCCAAAGCTGGTGTACTGTGTGTACGCAGATAGAGCTCTACCACATCCTCACCGTCGATGAGAGCCGTCGTCGTGATGTCTGAGAAGGTCGGACGGGTCTGCAGCACCAAAGGACCTGTGATAGTTTGTTCGCCCGATACTAGAAGCTGGGGGACAGTAAATTTCAGATATGATTATTAATTGTAGTCTTTACCATAGCGATTGACAGTGATGCAAAACAAAAATTTGTGCAGTTCAACAATTTACAAATCTAAAAATGCCCTCTTTCACAATAGAAAAAGTGTTATACATTCAAACCTGTCTATATATATATATATATATAGTGACCGCCCAAGGGAAACACAAAAAGTGGTCTATATAGACACGTGGTCTTTGTAGAAAGGTTCCTTTAGTGCATGTTTCAATGAGAAATCATTTTCAAGGGAAACTAAAAATATGGTCTTTGTAGACAGGTGGTCACTAAAGCAGGTTCGACTGTATATCCTAAAATATAATATTTCATTACACATTATATACTGTGCACTTACAGAAGTTGTTTTAATGTCTTGTACATCAGCTCCTTGGACTGTACCAGTCACATCCATGTTTCCAGAGAAAAGGACCCCAAATTGAAATGTTTTGATGGCAGTGACTGTCTGGTCTCTGGACTTGGTCATGAAAGTTCTTGGAGAGAAGTTCAGCCCACTGCATAGGCCTGTCACCCTGTTTGATTGAAGGAGGAGTAGACGGAGGGAGACGAAGAGATGGAGTAGAGAGAGGGAAGAGAAGAAGGAAGGAAGGAGGAGGAAAAAATGCAGGAATATTCTGGATTTAGATCCACAATGTCTCTAAGTGATTTACAGACATATTATTACCCCGGTCATCTAAAACAGACCCAGAACAGATTCAGTCCACATTCTTGCAAGCGGTATTACTAAAGGTAATGTTTAAACTCCACCTAAGAGTGTAGAGTAATTAGGTAGAAACGACTTCAACAAAATTCACATTTCACCCGGGTAGTGCATAGAGTATAATAATGGAGCAAACATTTCCTTCCACGCTGTTTCTACAAATTACCAACACTTATCTTTAACCATTATCCCTCAAAACCGAGGATCACTCACCCTACATCTTCATCAAAGTGAATCGATTCAAACGCTAGATCTGCAGTGATGGTATAGCCAGAGGCCTTCAAGACTGCATGCCCTCCCCAGTCCGATACATCCACTCCGTCAATGGTTATGCTGTTCTCAAAGTTGAGATTCTGCCTATCAATGGCGACGTCCGAGGTGAAGGCCTTGAATCCCGTAACCAACTGGACTTGATTGGTCACCATCACGTTGTCCGAGATGTCCACACCATCGACGGTGCCGTCCACAAGCAAGTCACCTAGACAAAGAATAACAGGGATTGAAACTTGTTTCTTGAGGAGAGCCATCCCAAAACATGACTCTTTTGGATTAAAATATGTTTTCTCTCAGGGCTAGCTTGTATTAAGACCTATATGGACACACCTTCAAAAGTAAGTAAACTGAATTAACATATCTTGAACGGTGCAGACCTTGTATGAACGCATCTTGAACAGTAAAAAAATAGTGCAAATATGTCTTGAACAGTCAAGATCTAGGGTGCACATGCCTTAAACAGTGAAAAGTTTATATGTGAACACATCTTGAATGGTAAATATCCTGTATGAACACGAATTAACTAGTGAAGATATAGTTTGAACATGACTCAAACAGTATAGATCTATACATGCATGAATAAAGAAAGACACCTTGAATAGTAAATATTGTGCAGTATGAACTTGAGGGCAGGTGTACCATGGATCCATGCATGTGCAAGTCCCTCCACACACCTGAAGAGAAAAGGGACTCCAATTGAAAATCTTTTTCCACTTCATAATACACCAACATAATTGTTGGTCATCGACATCAGGACATAGCAGAGAAAAAAATAATACAGATACAGATAAACCCTTTAACATTACTGATGTTGTACATATTTTATGAACGCACCTTTAATAGAAATACACTGCTGAAACGTCTTGACACCGTAAACGGTATCCACCGCGTCGTCCATCCAGACTTCCTCATGCAGTTGGTCCATGTCCCACGTGTTCAACAACCCATCTAGGTCCAGGGAATTCACAGTGATAGAAGCACCGGTTGCTATGGTAACAATGCCGGTGTAACGCTTGCTTCCGATGATGGTCTGCGAGGAGGCTGAACGGCTGAAGTAGGAACTATCCAAGGCTTGGATGTCGACTGTCTGGAGGTGTCCACCGTAGTTGACATTCTGGATGGGGGATAGGGTTTTCTTAGTTAGACATGCACTTACACTATTGCATGACACAACTCGCACAGTCACCCACAGGTTTATGACTATATAATCATGTGACTAAAACAAAAAAACAAAAAAATATTCTACAGTTTATTGCTGATTGGGATCATTCTTTTATTAGAGGACACATAACACCATGCTTGTCAACTAACCATTTCAGCAGTAACGGCCGAGAGAGTGACGGCTGCAGTGATGGTCTGAACAGCATTATTAACGTCCGATGTCACCACAGCACGAGCTGCAAGGTCAGATACATCAACGCCGTCGACTGTCCCTGTCACTGCTAGGTTTCCATTGATTGTGATCCCATCTTAAAGCAAAAGAAATACCAGCACAGTGCAACATTTAGATCACTCTTATGTTGTGACAATCTTCAAGCAAAGATCATATAATTTTTTCTGTCAAAACATTATGTGAAGAAAAGTACTCTACCAAAAGTCAAAATCAACATTACACAAGGGTTTTCTTTGTCAACCGATTAAACTGATCCATTTGATTTCAATGCATTGTAACTGTCCAATAGAACAGAGCAAGAAGTACAACACAAGGGAGGTCATGGAAAGGTTTGGTCTGGAGGAAACTATGGTGGAGGTGGTAAAGTGAAGTGCATTGAGAGGGATGGGTGGGTCATGTGTTGAGAAGGAAAGATGATAAACCTGTGAAAAGAGGGTGGGATCTGGAAGTGGATGGCATAAAAGGGAAAGGAAGACCCGAGACTTCATAGAAAGATATGGTGAAGAAAGAAAGGTTGGTCTGAAAGAAGAGGATGTTCGAGACAAGAAAAAGTGGAGGGAGGGAGTGTCATCATGGCACGAAAGTCGGTAACCCCTAATATAAGTGGGACAATTCTGACTTTAATAAAATGATCATGTTGATGATGAAATTAATTAAATTAGATTGTAGGTGATGAACATCCCCCAAAGGAAAGTAGAACAAAACATCTTGAATTTCAATTTTTTAATTTTTTTATTACTATTACAAACGTATACAAAATTCACGTTAGCCAATTAGTAGTATTGTGTTGGACAAATCTTGCCCTAGCACTCCCAAACACGAAATGACTACATTTTTACAAAATTATCAATTCTATAGCAGAGTTGACTTGATTTACATGGTTGACACTCACTTGAAAATGTTTTTCCGGCTGTGATATCTTGGTTGCCAACATTCTTAACGACCTTATTCCACAACTGCAAGATGTCAATAGTATTGACCAGTTCAACATTGATGTCTGCACCAAAGGAGGTTGCAGCTTGAAAGGTCTTTGCTCCTGTAAAAACTTGATCCTGAAATTAAGAGAATTTATGCAATGGAGTTCACATGATTCACAATGGCATTTGTCAAAAATAATATGTAGCATCAGTAAAATGAAGAAATTATTTATTTCTGAAGTGTGATTAAATTAAATAGTCAGAACCTTTGAAAGTGTTTTAACACTTGATTTTATCCTTGGATCAATACAGAAACTGTTTTACAGGTATATTTACCATTTTTACTGGTATATCATTATTCAATGATTAGCGTTTAACAAGTAGTTAAGTATTGATCAGTCACATAGCAAACTCTTTGGTTCTCCTTAACTTTGTGTCGCTGGTCTATCACTTAACCTTGATTATAGTTTTACGACCAGGGTCTCTCTAGAAACAAAACACGATGTACATGTATTCATTGTATTCCACACATTGCATTTGGTATTACTTATTAATGTTCAAAGAAGTGTGATCTTATTGATGTATCCAAGATAGGATCACTGGTCTATCACTTAACCTTGATACAAAACATATGTATTCATTGCATTTCCATATATTGCATTGGTATAACTAATCAATGTTCAAGGAAGTGTGATCTTACTGCTGTAGCCGAGATAGCTACATCTCTGCTGATGAGAATCCCATCTACTGCTCCTGATGCAGTCACATCATCCTCAGAGTCTACATCAGAGAACTCGATTGGAACTGAAAGACAAAAGGAAGAAATGCTGCTTTAAGATGAAAATAAATCATATCAGCAAATAGTTCTAATGATGTACAGCTCTTATAACTTAGAGGCACTGTGGTAGGGTAGAGCAGTGGCCGGTGACCAAAAGGTGCCTGGATCAAAACCAATATCTCTATTATCTCTTTCTCCCTACTCCCCCTCCCCCTTCTCTATATATCTCTCTCTCTCTCCCCTTCTCTCTCTTTTTACATCCATCTTCCTTTCTCTCAAATATTTTTATCTGTATCTTCTTCTATATGTCTCTCTTTCCCTCTCTATCCTTCTCTCACCCCATTTTTCTGTAATTCCTCCCATCCCCCCTCTTCAAATATATTTCATTAACAAAAGGACGCACTAAACCCTAAACCCTTCTCACTTGTATACTCAGTATCCGTGATCTTTGCTGAGTGGGTCCACATATCCTCTACCACCAGAGTATTAACGGTACTGCTGACAATGACGTTGTCTTCCATCACGACGTCGACGGTTTGTACCGTGCCCTGGACCGTCTGGGTTGTGCCTTGGGTCAGGACTGTGTCGAAGAAGCCTGGAACGCTGATTCCATTCACTACATCTGTTTTTTTTATTAAAGAAAGCACAAACAGAATGATATTAATCAACAATATTCAAAAAAGCATTATTCTGAATTCCGTATAGATAAAGATGGTAATCTGTCTTTGTGGTAACTTTAATTTGTAATTGTTAATTTTGCTACACAGAATTTTGTCTACGATTTTTTTTTTAAATTGAAAGAGGATGTCATTGAGACACATTTCTGCGTGATTTTCAAAACAAATGTGTTTGGAGTCGAATATTGATAAAAGAGAGTACCAGAACATCAATGACGTAGCGCTCATCTGCATCTCGCAACAACAAATATCGTAAATTTTATGTGGTACACTTTCTAACTGGTCAAAAAATAAAAATTTGATGCCCTGGAAGGGACATAATTTCATTTAGCTGTACAAGTTTAAATAGAAACTAAAGGAAATGGAATGAAAATTGGTTGAAAAATATATAGTTTTATGACTTAGTAAGAGATAAATGTAAACATACTCACCTTTTATTATAAGAAAAGGACAGAGGTATAAATAGTCAGTAAATTGGTGTGAGAAAATGTCAACAGAATAATATGGCAAAATAACAATTTCGTAAGGGACAAAAACGAGTTAGTGTGAGAAAATTGTTAAAATATTTAAACAAATTGAAGAATTAGGAGGTAACAAGAGAATGAAACAATGCATGCATAATACTGATGAATTAAAACAAAATAAATTTGCATAAAGTACCATAATTAATGGAGAAAAATTTCAAAATTCTGCATAGAGATATAGTGTACCAAAGTTAGCTCTATGATATAAAGCAAATCAAATCAAATCGGTCGAAATATGAAGGAGAAGAAGCATTTTTTGTGATTTTTTTTATTATTTTTGGAATATATTTGCATAAATTACCATCATTAATTAATAGAGAACAATTTCAAAATTCTGTGTACAAGTTTAGTGTACCAAAGTTAGCTCTACCAGATAAAGCAAACCAAATCAAAATCGGTCGAGAAATGAAGGAGAAGAAGCATTTTTTGTGATTTTGAATAAATTTGCATAAATTAGCATAGATAATGAATTTCACGATTCTGTGTACAAGTTTTAAATCCCCCTCCTAGCCCTAACATATGAAACAATCAGATTCAAAATCGGTTGAAAAATAACGAAGAAGAAGCATTTTGAAAACTGTGGACGGACAGACGACGGATGCCACGCCATGGCATAAGCTCATCGGCCCCTTTAGGCCGGATGAGCTAAAAATGTGTCTCTGTCTATTAAGACCAAAATAGGGCTTGAAAATGTGGTAAATTTAATTAGTTTTTTCAGGATTGTTTAACAGAATAATAGATATACCCCATTTGCATCTATCTTTGTGAATAATTGAAAATGTGTGAACCGGCTATTCTGAGCGATAACTTACTATTAAAATCTACATCAGTGAACGTAGGGCTTGCTCCAAACGTCTTGGCACCGGCAATGTCTTGATTTCCCGAGGTAAATACAGCATTATCGTTCATGTCTGAGACATCCACTCCACCAACAGTGCCCGAGACCACAAGGTCGTCCCGTACGGTCAGAGTCTCAAAGGTTTTGCTTCCTGTTACTACCTGGGCACCTGAAACAAGAAGAAACCATCATGTATAAGGCATCCCTGCAATAAATGGTATTGCTACAAATGTCTATTGAATGAGTTTTCTATCAATATTTTCCTCATGACAATATCACCTAGATTTGTCCCCATAACATCAATGATGATCAATGATTTGGTTCAAAGTGTTCAAAGTGTTTGAGTCATGACATAAAATTAATTTCACATAAAATCTAACTAACTATACACAAAATCGAAAATAATATCGCTAGTGATATTCGTTTGTCTCACAATGTATGGTCAACAAGGGATCTAAAAGATGACGATGTTTCGTGCACCTCCGCAACACTTCATCAGGTGATAATATACACAAAATGTTCGCAACTACTAAAGGATTAATTGAACAAAGAAAGATGAGAACGTTGAGCTAGATGTCTTGACCACCTGCCAAACACTCGTCAAAGCAGGGGACTTCCTATACATGTATTTCTTTTTGATCGCAACTCAACTCAAGTCTAGCTTGCTATCCATCGCAAATACATCCTTCAAAAAGGACGACTGGAAATGTACAACTGCTGCATGGAAGTCTTGTAATCAATCCATTTCAATCACGTTGATGTATATTTCATATGTATTGGAATTTGTAGGGTTAGTTGCATTTTCTTTTTGTTTTGTTTATCCTTTTAGTTTGTTTGTTATAGCGCTTAGAGACTTTGGTGGTAAGCGCTTTCTAAGCACCGTTTTTATTATTTAGTAATACAATTAACTCTTTTTAAGATGGGGCGCAGATGTAACATCTCAAAGAACGTACCTGAGCATTTTAGTGTATCAGACTCCACCTCCTCGATGTCTTCTCCATTCAAGTCTCCACTGAGCACTAGGTCACCACCGATCGATAGGCTGGTGGAAGCGGTCACAGTCTGGGTGAAGGAGGTGTCGCTGGTGATCGTCTGGGCACCGCTGATGGTCACTGCATTGTCCAGGTCAATGCCTAGAACATTCAGGAAATGGTAAAGGTTTTGTGTTAATATACTGTGCAACTGCAAAGAACAGACAGTTCAGGTATCAACGGATGATTGTTTGAAAGCTTGTTATGCAAGCAGTCCTTACTAGAAGAGTCCCAAATTAGGCCAAATAAATAAATATATGATTGCCACCACTGTAGCATTAAAGAATGTATCCTATCTGGAAGACTAGTGTAAACCTCATATTTCATTTAACTTGCATAGATTTACATGTTTCCACAGCTACAAACTGTAAAGCCAAAAACATGAAATTCTGCGATATAGTAAACTGTCTTTTGTGTAGCACACACAAAAAAGTTTGGTAGAACCAATTTACAGCAAGAAACCTCAAATTTGCACAACTTGCAAAATTGTGAGTTTCTAGTTTTACACAATAATTACCACCAATGTCGTATAAGTTATATGCCCAATATCATTAGTAACACTCAAGAAACATATGTAAACATAAACTTACCATCAATATCACCAGATACACTTAAGGTCCCTCCTATGTTTACATCATTGCTGAACTGCCATGACCCCGAGACGGTCACTTCTGATGCACTGTCCAGCTTGACCGCCTCGCTGTACAGTTTATCGATGGGCACCCTGTTGATGGTCGAAGTGACCTGGACATTCTCACTGGACGTAACTGCGGAGAAGGACTTGGCGCCGGCGATTGTCTCCGTGGTGCCTTGGGTGACCAGGTCCGAGAGCGTGGTGGAGGTTCCAAATGTGTGTGCATTGTTAGTGGTGACTTCATCTTGGAACTGCAGATGGAATACATAATGAATTATTTAATGCACTGCTCAGCTTTGGACAGGCCATAAGAAGTCAAGTGATATCCGACTCCTTAAAGGTAATACAAAGTTTTGGTATGGGGTCATGAAATTTGGTTCAAATGAACATATTGGAAGCATATACGATCCGACAATATTCAGTGATCGTTGTTGCAGTTGAAATTGAGTCTTAAGTTATGAAATCGAAAATAATAACTCTTTATGTTGTATAGCCCCCTCTCAAGGTCAAGATATCAATTAAGATACAAAAAAAATGTTTCTTGACTAAAATCGACCGATTAGCTATTTCCATTTGTAAATTATATATCACAACTACATATTCTGAGATTGTCATGGTCGCAGCTACCATTAAACGGCCCTAGGCGCTATTTGAAATTTATCACAATTTACCGGGAGCACCAGTAAATTTTAATATTCAATTTTTCTTGAAAGCAGAAGTGTTTTAAGGGCTTAATTTTTCTAATGCTTATAATACATCCACAGGGGCATCCAAATGTATCAAAATTGTAAAGAATCACTATCCACCCAATTTTCAACATTTCCCAAAACTTTGTATTACCTTTAACCCCTTCTATGCCATTTAACTTCAAAAACAATTACCATAAATTTATTTTTTCAAGAGTGTTACTGTGAGTTTCTTTCTGTCCTTGTAATGTAATAACAAAAGCCATTGGCCTGAGAAATTCTTGCTTTTAAGGAGGACGTTATGAACTACTTAACCAATACTATGACATATGAAAACATATCAAAATTACAAACATCGTAGCATGGATCAAGCCATTGAGAGGGTACTGGCATCAGCAGAGGGTGTAGGGATTGAGGGAGGTAGCTAGTTCTTCCTCGGTAAATAAAATGAAAATTAACAATAACAAAATCATTAATTGGGAAGGGGGTCCTAGCTATCATCTTTTATTCTTGTCCTTACCAAATCTCCCTTTCCTTTCTCTTCTTTGCTCTTTTCACCCCTCCTCTTGTAACATCTCCTCTTCTCATCCTTCCCCCTCTCGCTCTTGTCTCCCCCACTCTCCCTATAGCCAAGCAACTGTATAAAATTAACAATGACCATTTCTATCATCTTTTATTCTTGTCCTTACCAACTCCGCCTTTCATTTTCTCTCTTTCTTTTTCTCTTGTCATTGTCCCTAATCTCCCCCTAGCCAAGCCACTGTAGAATACCTCTATATTTCCACTGAAATCCAGATCTCCAATAGAGCTCAGGTCTCCACTGCTGAGCTTGATGGCATTGTCATCTAGATCATTGATGTCCACTGTATCAATGTGCAAACTGACCGTCAGGTCGGCTTGAATGTCCACATCCTTCGCAAAGGTCTTCACACCTTTTGAAAGATAACGTTGAATATATTGACCATGCATGTACATTCATTGTGGAGGAAGCCTCTAGAAAGTTTGAGACTATATTAACAAGTGGCAATAGAACTTGTGGAAGACACAATTTGAGCATTAATGTCTTGCAAGATTTTGGAATCAAATGAATCTAGAACCTGATAATTTTTAGATTTGATGAATAAAACAATATGATTCCAAGCACACAAAAAACTAACATTTGCAGCACTTTGAAAAGGCTTAGAAATTCGGGTTACACAATCTATTTCTATGTGTGTACCATACACGAGGAGGCTAGTTTGCCCAATCAGTAAAGCGTCTGCCTGTCAAACCAAAGATCGTGGATTCTATTCCAACCCAGGGGGATGACTGACGCCTGCATTGTGTGTTAATGTGCCCCTCCCCTGTTTCAATGGAGGCCCTGTGTAGAGGAGAGTCACCTCCTTTGCACGTTAAGAACCCACTGTACTATGCGTATAAGAGTAGGGGGAAACCCCGGTATAGTGGATCACCGACCTGCACACCCCCAATCAGTTATACTAGGAGGAGAGACCTGAGGGTTACAGTGATTCAGTTTGCTTTTCGCCTCCCATACGTATACAATATTATACGCTATAATGATAATGGTAGCAATATTTTTTTCTTCACTTTTTCATCCAACTTTTATTTACGTATTTACATTTAAGATGGCAAATCCCAGTAGTGATTCGAAGAAGAATACACAATTAATCTACTTATTTATAAATATTCATAAATTAAAACAAGCCTCATTCTTGATGAATACAATTATAATTTGACAAACCTGTAATCTCCTGGTTCCCATAATTGAAGACAGTTTTGGGAACCAGTGTCTTGAGGTTGACACCGTCGATCCTGTCATTGATGATGGTGTCATCGTTGAGGTAGATGTCAGTGCTAAACTCAACGCTTCCACTCACTTGCTGAATGTTCTTGGTGTTCGTAGCAGCCGTGAGTAGGAGGTCCAGGTTCCTGTAAGGTTCTGGATGAATTTCAAAGTTTCCCTTGCAACAATTTACTTATTTACTGAACGTTATATTTCATTCAAGTTTAATCTACCTGTATCTTTTTATTCCTCATCAGTTTAAATGAATTGTTTTTTATGTAAATGTGGAACAAATAAACTTCAAACTTCACACTACAATAAAGGAAACATATCAAACTTTAATTTGCCACAAATGTTGATAGGCATATTCTCAAGTGTGCCGAAGATGCCAATAAGCACAAACAATAGGGACCACTCTATATTGATAAAATGGCAAATCCTGGAATTTTAGAATAAACTAGAAGGCATTATTAGGATGGCAAATCCCTGGAATTGTGAAATCAACAAACAGGTATTTATATGTTAAATGGCAACTTCTGAAATTTTGAAAGTATTTGAAAGCATTGGTAAAATAGCAACTTCTGGCATTTTGAAATCAAGTAGAAGGCATTGATAAAATGGCAAATAAATAATAAAAATAAAAATATTCACAATTTCTCAAGTAGTTTAAATCATAAAAAAGTTTTAATTAAGTCAACAAATAATTAGATTACATCTTTGCAATGCACAACATTTTTTGCCATAAAAATGGCCATCTTAAAAATAATCACAAAATGTTTAGGTCCCAAAATTGTCTGTTTTTAGGCTTGTTAACATATGCTGTGGTAAACTATGTCAAGTTACCAAAGGGATTTTTAAAGTACATTCTAGCTTACTGCACTTCACATATTTTGTATCTTATAACACACAAATAAGTGGGTATACGTGTATGCTTCCCCACTTGCCGTTCATTTAGTAAACGTAAAACGGCGGCAGTAGGCCTAAACTCTGGCGGTCTACTATGGCATATCTGAACAAGCTGTCACACAACTGTGTTTCCTCCTTCCTTACCTAGAGCATTGATGTTGTTGATGTGGTCCCGAAGAACAAGAGACTCCAAAGTGACATCGTTTGCAAACTTTAGAGGTCCCGCAATGTTAACCATGTTAGGGTTATCAATCAGCACAACGTCATAAGGGAAGTTCAATGAGTCCACGGTACCGTCTGTAGTTATATCGGCCTCTACAGTCAGTGGGCTGGTGAAGGTGTATTCCGCTGTAGGAGCCAATAGACCATAAATCAGTTGTTATAAGATGTTTTAACTACGAGATATCCCCTCTTTGTAATAATTTCACTAGGAGCAGTAATGTTTCTTGCCAGAATAGCATACCAGTTAACAACTATTGTGAGTGGCTGAATCAGACAAGCAAATATTTTGACAATCTGATTTTGTCATCAGAATAAACTAACAAGATATATAAAAAAAAAAGAACAAATAAACCATCCTCATTGCTAGAATATGAGATGGTGGCTGCTTAATTACAAGGCAACAGCTGCTCGAATAATGGTAATGTAAAAAATAAATCCTTTGGTAACGTAAACAAAAAATTACCCCCATCCCCCTCCTCCCCTCCCCATGGGGATTTTTAAAGCCCCACTGCACTGGTTTGGCCAGGAGGGATAAGACCTCCCTACATGGTCACTGACAGGTGCTTATCTTATTAAATCAGCTCTCAATTAACATAAGAAAAAGGGGATCATGGGGGACGAATGGTCACCGATTAGGCATTGTTTGATATATAGAGGGCGCAAGTAGCTATAAGTAGTGCAGTGGGGCTATTTCATCTATTTCACCTGATACATCCTGCTGCACAGACAGGCGAAGGATACCAGCATCAAGGTCCTCAATGTCCACTCCGTCAACTGTATTACCGGCGGTGACCGTCAGACCGGCACCCATGGTCACTGCCCCATCGAACGTCATGGGTCCTGCAAGGTTACACAAAAGATGAAACTGGTCAAACAACATTCTAGTACTAAATTACGCTATATTTCTGGGCAATGATATAGACGGACATAGAATGCCAGCGTCAAGGTCCTCGAAGTCCATCCAGTCCATCATATTACCATTATTGATCGTCAGACCACTGGCCATTGTCAGATCCCATTGAATGCCATGAGCCCTGCATCGACAGCTAGAAAGGATTTTAGTCAAAGAACTTTTAAGGACTGAATTGTAATATATTTCAAGGTGATTCCATCAAGAGGGGTAAAATACCTGAATCACGGTCCTAGACCTCCATCCCTTCACCGTATTACCATCAATGACCAGCACCCATGGTATTAAATAGCTCCATCAAACGTCTTGTAACCCGCAAGGTCACTCAGTTGGGAAAACATGACATGAGTTAGAGGCCTTTCACGAGAGTGAACAGATAAGTTACTGTGGGAATGTGAACTAGTTTATGTTTTATGTAGATCGCGGACTTGTCCGATTATGCAAATTAGTTCGCTACGCGTGTTGCACATGATTTTGCGGATGAATGATTTATTGTGTGATACGCCGCCCATGTTAATGTGTTAACATACATGTTAGTATTGAATCACATTCATGTCACGTTCAATTGCGGAGAGGACGTTGTTGCTGTGCCTGTAGCTGTGTATTACAGAGTCACGCGGTTTCCTTGTTTTAGCGAGGGTTTTGGTTCAACTGTTTGGCAGTATTTTCGAGTAAGTTATGCTTATTGAAATAGATATTTGGTTTAATCCTGTATCATAGTGAGTGATAATGCATAGTTTGAGGTGGATATAGATGTCTGTTTGAAGTAATTATGATGATAAGAATGCCTGTTTATGATGTTGAACAGAAGTTTTGGTTAGGGCATTAATTTGGTCATATTACGCTGTTTATAGATAAAATGTCAGAGACATTTGTGCTAAAATTGTTTTATGCAACATTTTCTTTCGTCATATTTCGGAAAAGATATTTTGAGGGATTGCAAAGATAATTTAAGGATTAATTTTCCCATTTTGTATTTCACACACATGTGAAGTAAAAATGTATCTTGACGTTGAGGGCAGTAACATGTAAATAAGCTAGCAAGTATGGCGGCGCCCATAGTTGATTCCTAGATGTGAGTTGATGATAGTTTTATACACCTTGGGTGTATGATATGAAGAATATTGTTGATATTTTCCTGTGGTGTTTATGTCTAGGTGTTTATGTCTAGCTATTTACTATTAGCTGTAGATGATATGAGAATTTCCTTTAGTGTGATTTAGAGAGCAAATACTTGTAACTGTTATTGTTGTTACATTATTATAGGGGCAAGATCAGGACTTGCATGTTGCAGCTTCTGTTGCTGAGCTGAGCTGAGTTGATTGCTGGTAGTTTCTTGGTGTCTCCCTTTTCCCCTTCACTTCCTTCTCCACTGTAGTTGAGAGCTTCAGTGGTTTATTGCTGAAGACTTTGGGTATGTTTTAATGATATTCTGGTAAAGTTTGCAACAGACTTTGTGTAACTTTACTCAGTCTAATATTGCAGTGTGTTTAACAATTTATATGTATATTGATGTTATGGGACAATTTTATATTTGTTCCATCGTATTATAAATACTTACAGATAAATACATGTATTCTTGTTTGTCTGATGCAAGTATGATGCTCTGATTACTGTTTGAGATTCTTACAGCTGATTTGATGTTTAGATATAATTATGTCATTCCAGTTAATGATTATAATATTTGATTTCAGTGATTTTACAAGAGAATCAAGATGAAACAGATTTGATTTGGAGATCAAGTTGTAATTATACAAATAACGCACGGCCCAGAGTGCAATAGCGGTGAATGCAGTACGCGCGAGGTTTCTTTAGATTGGTGCCGCTCTGTGCAACGAGCCGCTTGCGGCGAGTTGACAGTGCGAACCATCTGAAGAAACCGAGCATTTACTGCATTTACGTTTTGCACAACAGGGTCAAGTGCGTTATTTGTTTTATAAAATAGCGACACAAATAGCAACAAACGAAACTTTAGATCTAATAAGTTAGAGTCTACGAGAGTTCGATCTAGATCTAGATCTAGAGTTATGTTGGTTCTACTTCTAGACTAAGACCTTGCAGGCTTACCAAAAAGTCAATGGGATTCATTGCCTTGATTAAAAATAAAATCCATACAGTGGGTCTAGAGACGAGTCTACATCAGACAGCTGAAATTCCTGGCTTCATTATAAAATCCAAAAGTCAAAACAGGCCTAAATCCAAGGCAAAAGTAAAATAAAAATTTCCTTTATAATAATACCCCGCTGGCGCTGGCCGCTCTGATCTAGCTAGTTAGCTAGAGCTAAGCTACGCGTACGTTGCGCTGGGGATCATGGTGGAGCGTACAAGTACGCGTAGCCTACAATAATTGCAATGCACTCGAGGGAGCGCGTACTACACGTACGCGCGCGCACTATGATCTCCATGGTCACGCGTACGCACCGTGCAATATAACTTTTTACTGCGCTTTTTCTGCACTCATTTCTGCAAAATCGTGCTTGCATCAAATTTTTTTCAATGTCATGTGACGCGTATTGACCAATCACGATGCTTAAAATACTAGAGCCATTTTATAATACTTAATATGACATTTAATCAAGAGGATATACAATATCTCTGTTTAGTAATTACTTTGATTTATTTCATTGATATAATCATGTATTTGTGAAGATGACATTTGTAATTGTTTGAAATACTAAAACATGTTTTGTTTTATTATTCTGCCAATTGCAGGGTTTTTTCCCGTTTCTGCGTGCATGAATCACCGAGAATCAACGGTTTATGAATTAAAGCACCGGTTACGCTAACACACGTTTCCCGAGTTTCATTTATCGTCTCACACGTACTACGACATTTATATACATGTACATGTACGTGTGGGCTACAGTGGGAGTAGAAAGGTATATTATTCAAGGCTCTTGACTCTTATACATGAGGTCCTAGGTTCAACCAATGCTTGTGCTTATACATCCTTGGACGAGGTGTTTTGTCTACATTTGTCCCTCTCAACACAGATGTTTTGAATGGGCACTTAGCAATGCTGGGGTACCAGGCTACTCTGGGTAAATCAACACACATATATGTAAAGTCCATATGATTAAACTTGACCACTGCACGTCATTGCCATGTACAGTCAAACCTGTATTAGCGACCACCTCTCTATAAAGACCACCTGCCTATAGTGGCCATGCATTTTGTCTCCCTTGAAAGAGAATTGTGTATTGTAGAACCTGTCTAAAAGGCCACCTGTCTACAGTGGCCACTTTCTCTGTTTCCCTTGGGTGGTCTTTATAGACAAGTTTGACTGTAGCATGTTACGTATAAGAACATGAAACAGTCCTGCCCCTTACCGGTGATGTCATGACTTCCATCAAGGTAGACTGCTTCATCCTTGAGCTCTGATAGGTCCACACCATCCACCGTGCCTGTAACCACGACATTCTCTGTAGCTGTGATTGAGGCGCTGAAGGTGTACGTCCCAGTCACGGTCTGAGCTCCGCTGGTCTGCAGGACGGAAGCAGGCGTCAGGGTGACACCGTCGACAGTTCCACTGACACCGAAATCTCCTGCATAGGTGAGACATTGATGATAAATGCTCAACTTCAACAGTATTCATTTTAAAAAATCATTTTCTTTGGATTTATTGAAAAATCACTTAACAGTACAAAAAAAAAACAGTACAAAAAAAGGACAAGGGTACCGACAATGGTACTGACAAGGCTACCGACAAGGGAATACTACTAACGAGGGTAATAAATATGTGAATGCACACTCTCAATTGGGATATTTGAACTCTCTGTTCAACACTATATCTATATAACCCTAAAGTAACTCTAACTTAACACCTATTGAAACTAAAACCCAACTGCAAACCGTGACCATAACCATACATCTACATACCTGCCAACCTGAGACAAGAGAAATTAGGAGTAAATTTTTCTGGATGGACTACGAGGTCGCGAACCACCGAAGGATTGGGGTAGTAGCCCGTAGATTGGGGGGGGGGGGGGGACTTTAGGGTCTATTTTTTTTCTCTCTCCATTTTAATGGTGCAAATGGGTCTTTTCCTTCAACCTTTTCGCCCCACACATAAACAATTTTTGAAATGTGAACACTCACAAAACTACATGTTTCACTACCCACCTCAGTTAGGAGCCCTATTTTGCAAAGGTATATAGTAGTAGTAATCCAAAATAAATCAGAGGAAGTCCTGTAAATAACAAGCTTCCACGATCGCAGTCATCGCACAAGCATTGAAGAAAACACGCCAATGTATACAGTGTTTATGCACGGTGTATCAACTGCACATGTAATATAAATACACGTGGGCTATACGAAGGTATGAATAAACATCCCAAAATTGCTGATGTGAGATGCTTGTAGGATACTTTACAGGACAGAATGGACATTTTGCCATTGAAAATGGCGGACGCACACACAAAATATTAATTAAAAAAATTATTAAAAAAATTATTAAAAAAAAAAAAAAAAAAAAATTAAAATTAAAAAAAATCAGAGTTTTGAGGCATGCACTCGGAATTCGGAGTTGGTATGAAAAATGCGGAGAAACTCCGCCTAAATCGGGGTGGTTGGCAGGTATGTATCTATGACAAAACATCTACATGTTTAAACATGTAATAATATCAAAGCGGGACTGCACTACTGGTAGGTACTTGCGCCCTCTATATAGCAAACAATGCCTAAGCGTTACCCGTTGGTCCCCCATGATCCCCTTTTTCTTATGTTAATTGAGAGTTGATGAGATAGCCACCTGTCAGAGACCACACTTCGTAGTTTAATCCCTCCTGGCCAAACTAGTGCAGATAGGCTTTAAGGAATTAGTTTCTTACCGTTTGCAGTGATTTGACCGGTGAATGTCTTGACCCCTGTGATGGTGTGATCTCCAGAGAGTGTGACTACTTCAGTCATATCCACGTCATCCACCGTACCCGTCGTGGTCAGTTCTCCTGTCACATCGATACCTCCCAAGATCAGCAAGGAGACAGATATATCCTAGCAAGCAGAATAAATTATCATCATCAGTAGCTCATATTCAGAAGCCAAAAAATTATTTGTTGACCATTATTCATGGTAAAAGATCAAAGTTGAAGTGTCAACGTCTGAAATGTTGTCAGAAGTCTATGCTACATGTACTACATATTTTGAATACTTAATTTGTATATTAATATCTACTGATTTTCCCAATGATACTAACATTATCATTTCAATAATTTCATTTTAAATTATAGAATAAATTATCATCATCAGTAGTTCATATTCAGAAGCCAAAAGATTAGCACAGGATAGAGACAAATGGAGAAAGAAAACAAGAAGATGTGCAGATGTGGTCGCCAATCGCCAGCAACTGACGGTGGCAGCCAGGTAGCCAGGTAGGTAGCTCTTATTGAGCCAAGGGGTTTTGTTTGTTCCAAGATTGTTTCGGAATGTAAACAAAGTTTACTTTCCAAATGCTTACACTGCTATATCCAAGACTTATATTACAAATATTGCGGGGAAAAATAGCATAGGTAGAATATCTACTGCTTTTGCCGATGATACTAACATATCATTTCAAAAATTTCATTTATATAGAAACTATCAAAAAATTCTGTAACTTCTTTGTTGACCATTATTCATAGTAAATGATCAGAGTTAAAGTGTCAACGTCTGAAATGTTGTCAAAAGTCTATGCTACATGTACTACATATTTGGAATACATTATTTGTGCTCTAAATAGTAAAACATGGATACAAATTGATGATCAAATACAGTTCCTTGTAGAGCAATTACTTATATCAATTATCTATCTTCGACACATTTTCCTTGTTTGCTAATTCTTTTTTTTTCTTTTGTCATTTATCACATGGCGAGAGATCTGGTCTTAAAATGATTATCTTACAAACAATGTCATTCTTTTGACATCTTTATCTAATCTCCTGCCAAATATTCTTTCTTTGAATACTTGCAGTTTCATATTCACCAACTTATACAACAAAATACTTCTGAGCACCCCCCCCCCCATATTTCAAATAAAAATGAAGATAAAAGTGATACTTACTACATTTGAAGTTTTATCTATATATTCATCATAAAGATCTTGAATATTGATGTCAGTGTTCACAAGGTCAGAGGTTACTGTGAGAGTCGAAGGTGAAAGGTCACCTACAGCCTCAAAGGAAGCAAATGTCTTCAGACCTGTACATAATGAATAAATGTCTTCCAAAAATAAATCACTGCATGTGTTTCATTTAAATTTCAGTTTCTCTGATATACTTTGAAACCTGTATATTATAAAGACCAAAGGAAACTAGAAAAAAAGGGTCTTTATAGGCAGGGGGTCTTTATGTAAAATTTTCAAAGGAAACAAAAAAGTGGTCTTCATAACCCCCCCCCCCCCCCCACTCAGTGTTATTTAGGGTACGTGTATGCTCGTTCCCTCCCTTAGAAAGCACCCCCCCCACCCCTATCTCATGACTGCCAACATTTCTGAATCAGCCTTTCGCAGGCTTTTTGCGAGCAAATTTCTTGCCTTGGAAACCACAACCTAATCTTAATTATTTGAAAAGGTAAATCAAGAGCATATGTTTCCAGAGCAAATTTCATACCACCAGATTATGTCATACTATTAGTATCATTATCAAGATGGCGTCACCTTTGCCTGGGAGGGGATAGGTGATCTAAATCACTGTAACCCTCTGGTCCCTTCCTCCTAGTATACCGGTATGGATTGGGATGTGCAGCCGGTTGACCACTACAGCAGGGTTCCTTCTACTATTATATGAATATACTGCAGTGTGTTCCTAACATGCCAAGGGGGTGACTCTCCTAGAGCTACACAGGGCCTCCATTTAACATCCTATCCAAGAGACGTAGTGTTTTCCACTATAACCTAGCATGCTTCTATAAAACAGGGGAGGGGCATGTTAACACACCTGTGATAGTCTGAGGAGTTGTATTTAGGAGCACAGTATTGGGAAGCTCGTTCTGCATGGTAGTAATCTTATTTGCATTGGTGTTCATCTTGTTGATGATCCTTTGCAGCTGTTCTTCTTCGGCGTTGGTCAGGACAACATCATCTTCGATTATGACTATTAAGGAAAAAGAAAATAAGCACATAGTTTAAAACTTGCTTTATTATTTACAAGAGCTTTGTTTGGACTTGCTACATTTAAAAATTAGAGGAAAACTGTCAAGTTTATTGGTTTGACTTTAATATTCTTGCACTCATGACCCTAAATTGACCCTAAATTGACCCTAAAAGTGACTCTCAGATCACCTATGATTGATTTATATCAAGGCACTTAAATTGAACATTTTTTTTATCAAAATGTTGAAAGGGGAAAAAAAAAAGATCAAGAGACACTTTGACTCTATAAAATCAAATCTAATTATATTGTCCTTTTGACAATGAAATCATGCTGGAACATATATAGTTTAATCACATTTATTCAATATTTCCTACAGATACCATGTTTTTTACAACAATGGGATTACAATGCTCAGGAGAATCGAGAATGCCAGGAATCACACTAATACATGAGCAGAAGGAGCAAAAATATCAGATAATTTTGAGTCTATTTCCAGTGCAGTATATTGTGCCTTTCTCAAATGAGAGCAATTTAATTGTAACTAATAATTAAAGTCTCTAAATTGGCAACCCAGAGTAACCTATAACATCGCTATTTTGTGGCATTACGTTCAGTTACATTTTTGTCATTTTCTTTCACATTGGATTATTCAACAAGCATTTTGATTTTGTTCATACTATGAAGAAGTGGAAAAAAGTTAAGTTCATACTTCTTGGTGGAACATTGATTGCAAGACACCAGCACAGCGAGAAGAGTTTAGAATGTTAAACTAGCACTTACTTTCATTTAGGACTATGTCCTCAGCTGTGATGCCACTCAAAAAGGAAACATTTCCGCTTAAATCAAATTCGCCACCGTCCACAGTAATCAGGTCTGGAATCTTTGTGATGATAGTTGTATGTGTGTGGGTTATGTTCTCATACTCAGTCCCGGAGGATTCGCACACCGATTCAGACAACTCCACATAGTTTGCCAGAATGCTAACGGGGGCAAACTGTAGCTTGAACAGGTTCATCTCCGTTTCATTTTGTTCCGATTGGCTTGCAAGGACCAAGTTGGCCCTGTAACCAGAAACGATCACAGAAATGGAGCAGACTGGGACTGCAAGAGAAGATGGTTCAAACTGCAATGTTGATTCTTGGAATTGCCATCCATCGTATTCGTAGAAAGTGATGGTTGTTGCCGTGTATATTATGAGGTTGACAAAACCTTTATTCTCATCAAGAATGGTGTACCAACCACGGATATCGGCGATTTCCAGGCACTGGAATGGTATAAATTTATTTTCGTTGTACTTGTAGATGAAAGACCTTGGTGTTCGACCTAAAATGTAAATAAAATTATGTCATGAGATGAAAACATGTTTTTTTAATTTGGTAAAGATCTAGATTTGTCAACTGCTATATTTTAGTATTCTAAATAAATGAGTTACAATTCGTCTGTCATATATTTTCACCAAATATTATTTTCAACTTGATTTTCCCTTATTGGAAAGTAAAGGTTTTTTTATTGAATCAAATAGTCTTTCCGACTAGAGCTTGGAGCATGATGATACATGTACAAGTTTGCCTGTTACCTCACATTATAAAGAAAAAGGCTGCGCCCATGTCATTATGAAAGACATGACTTCATGCAAAGAATATCTTCCTTTACATATCTCTTGTACATCTTTGTAAGAAATATTGTACGTCCATAATCAGGAATAAAACTCATCTTTCAGCATATTTACACTTATTTGTTGAGCTGAGGTTCCCTTTCAGAATTAAAAACTTTAGAACTCAATTTATAGTCAACAATCCCTATTGCAACAGGTGTACGGTACCTTGCTCATCATAAGTGTTGGCTATAAGAAGAAAAACTTCTAATTCAAAGCCGGAGCCGAACGTGAAAACATCCATATCGAGGACGCCATATGTGGTGATTGTCTGAAAGGTCTCAAATTGATGGAGATGGAGGTTGTAGAGAAGTATCTCAGAATTGGTTATCGGTTCATCGTACATTGATGCACTGCTCGCAAGGCCCAGGAAGACACGACTGAAGACACAAAATGGTATGATACTGACCAGGTTGGGCTTGGGGAAAGCAGCAAATTCATCCATATGACCACCTGCATGAAATCAGAGTAGAACCAGAGGTGGTATATTATAGAGATATTGACTGCTTTGAGAGGCCTGGCTGTTTTATAGGCTCAAGGGAGCGTGCACACATCTTGCCATAGTCATGGCAAGATGTGCAAGTTCCTGAGAGCCTATAAAGCAGTCGATATGTCTTTTATATGCCGAATTGAAACAAAAAACTACCAAGAATTCTTACCTTATCCTTTCATTGAGTAAAGATTGGTTAAAACATCACAGAAAATCTGAGAAACTGTCTGTTTATCTTTGCTGGAAAAATGACTGAAAGTTTCAATCATTTGGGAATCGCAGACAAAAAGCCCTGTATGGTGTCCGTGCTCACACAAAGAACATTTTAACACGTAAACCTATGGGGATCTGAGCACAATTGATTTATGTGGCCTGTTACCCAGGGCAACGGGCATCTTTAAAAAGACTATTGACTGGTAGGCGGGTATGAGGGGAATGGCAAAAATCGTGACTGCAATTTCGACCAATCAGATGGCTAGATTTCTAAAGAAAGGTATATAATGAAAAGTATATCATCTTTTCTATTAGTTAAATAACGTTAGTTGTCATAAAAATCCAAAAGTAGGACAAGTCATTGGTTAATGTCTGGGCAAAGCTGGCTGCATATGTGTATCTGTGGTAAGCAGATAAAAAGTATCATTTTAAAGTCATATTTGGTTTGACATTTTTGTAAAGTGCTTTGAATCATAGATGTATTAATAAGCTTTATTGATCCAAGCTGTAATAGGGTTTTCAAATGAATGTAATCACCAGCTTTACTAACATCTTAAATCTGTTTGGTAACATATATGGAATGATATACCTGGGACTTGCCCATGAACTGAGTCCAAGAAAGAATGATACACATTATAAAACTTTATATTCCAGATGTTAATTTCTAACCTTTCCATTCGTACATAACGGCAGCCTCTACATTGAGGATTGCATGGGACCTTTCAACTACAACAATAAATTGAGTGTTGCCCCCTATAATTGTCTCCACTGCAGTCGGCTCTGACATTTTTAGCCTTTGTACTTGAAAGAAAGTCTGGGAATCGGTGGGTTGGTCCACGGTCCACAAGTATGTAAAAAGTCCCGCAGACTTTGTGCTTCCTTTGACGAGAAAAGACAAACAAATATGTAAATAGCAACAAAAAAACAAACAAAAACATGAATACTGTATCTTTGTTTCAGGGTAGCATGAAAAGATCCAGTGCATCATTTCAAGAAACCATCGTAAGTACAAGTTCGCCGACATCCCAGTAAAACACATGTGAAAAATCAATACCGATATGTATTTTAATGGGATGTTGGTGTTCTTGAAAATATGATGGTTTTCTCAAATGTTGGTCAGATTACCAGAACATCAAGCCAGGCTTGGCAAAGTCCTTGAGCATGCAGAAGCACTTGTAAATTAAAATGGTGCCTTAAATTGGGAAGCCATTTAATTAAAATCTATGTTGTTGTTAATAGGCACATGAAAACATAGGGAAAGGAAAATGACTATTGTAACGATTGATGTTGTTGCTTTTGTTAAAATTAAGCTTTTCAAACTGTGCGATGATCTTCTATACCGGTACATAGATCATTTGGTCACGGACTTCAGGTAAAGAAAGACGGGAGTAAATGTTTCCAGCCTCTCCACTCCATATTTTATGGCGTTCTTTAATGTTTTATGTAGGGATAAAGGTATCCTTTCAATACTGAGAGGACATGAAAGGGTACCATATCTTTGCCAGCATTATTATAAATGAATAAATACATACCGGTAAATAAATATGTGAATGCAGTCCCGTAGTCCTAATAACATCAACTCACCATCCCCACATATTGCTACCACAACATAATGGAGCCCATCATAAATAAAGAAGTCAACGTCTTGGACATCGGGAGCACTTTGGACAAGAACCAACTCTGCCTGCCCTGTCTAGAAAAAACAACCATAAAAAGAAAATGTATGCCAGCAATCTACACAATGAAATTTAAGAAACCAAGATCCTACTATTCAAATAATTATTCATTTAATGACAACTGTAAATACCTATTTTGCAGAAAATGGAAAGTCAATAGCTGTATATACTCCATCAAAAGAGCACTAAAGCCAAAGAGCATTTTGAGCATATGTGGTGGATGTGCATTTTAAAGCATGCATATTTGTAATATTCAACAAAAACATCCATTCAGTAACTTAAAATACAGGAAAAAATCCTGAGAAAACTACGCCCCCAAAAAGGGCAAAACTTTAAGAAGGGCTGTCCGGTCAAAAGCACTTACAGTGTAATTAACACATCCTCAATAAAGACAGTAGAAGCTCTAGGTTTTTTTTTAAGGCATTGTTAAAATATTTTGCTCAAAAGTAACATTTTTGTCTGGGACAGAGCATATATAGAGAACATTTGAAATATCAGAAGAACTAAAACAATATTTTTTCATAAAGTATTTGAGGTGAAATCATAAACAGACATATGGATAACTATCCAGTCAATACTGTGACAGAACTACTTGAAAGATTTGCAAACAGTTAAAAAAACAATTCAGAATAGATAATTCACCCCCAAATATCAGAGAGGTCCTATTAGGGGAATGCTATCCTGTATACTTCAAAGATTTTCCAAACAATAAAAGAGCTACCGTAATTAACACTCGCACAAAAGACTGATCTTATTTTCAGGACTGTAAAGTGACTCCAACTTACTTGGTTGTCAAATCTGTAGATATGGACTTCATCGCAGATAGATGGATTGGATGTGTTACTTGCATGGGTGATGATGATATAGAGATCATCACCATAGAACAAAGTCTCCACATCATTGGGGTAGTCCACAGGGAGAGACAGAACCCCTCTGATAGATACCAGTTCCACCATTCCTGAAAGGAGAAAATTGGCAATGTTCACAACACCAGTGCAGGAATCACAGCAGGTCCAACCAACAACAACTTACCTCCAGACTTTGGCTGCATTGTGTGTTAACGTGCCTCTCCTGGTTCATAGACGCAGGCCATCTTACAGGTAAAAAAACGCTCAGTCCCTCGGATAGGACGTTTAATGGAGGCCCTGCGTAGAGAAGATTTGCCACCTTGGCACGTTAAGAATCCCACTGCATTAATCGTACAAGTGTAGTGGAAACCCTGGTGAAGTGGCCCACCTGCAAAAACCTAATCAGTCATACTGAGAGAGGCTGGAGGAGAGACCGGAGGGTATAGTGATTTACTTTGCTTTTTAATTGCCTCCCACACACAAGCGACGCTATATCTTTCTCAAACAAAAGGCCCTGTAATTCTATTTGGTACTTGGTATAATGCTTGGTTATCGCTCTTGTGCAAAATTGGGTTTAACAAAGGAAGTCAGTCTAGGCCCTCTATAGGTGAGTGAGATCTTAGTTTTAGTTTGTTAAACATGATCTTAGACCCAGGGTTGGATTTCAATTAATTCTAAGTAGAATATGGACCCAAGTCTCTAAACTGTACATGAGGAAGGAATACGTCAATTAGATTATTCATTGTACAGTGCGTCCCAGAAAAAACGAAACCGAGAATTATTGATGTTTTATCATAACTTAATCACAATTATAATTGATAAATGACACATATTGGTAAAAGCTTAGATCCTCCTCTTTCATTTGATGCAACTCGTATAATGTATATTTCACGCATGAGTGATTAAAATGAACTTAAGGAGAAGAAACCAAAAAGTCATTTGGCGGACGGTATCAAAGAGAAAATTGTATTTCTAGAAATTTCGAGTTTCTGCCCTTTCATATGACACCTCAGTCAGGAAAAATGAGCAAGGAATGACAAAGTTTGGTTTGTTTAAAGTATTGCTTGCATTTCCATAATTTTATTAAACGAATTTGTTTTCACTGGCTGCCTACCGTAGCAACAAATTGAATTAACAAAAGACTTAAACTCCGTTTCGTTAACAATCAGCCATAGACGAAAGACTTCATGCATGGCTGATGGTCAACGAAACGAAGTCAAGTCTTTTGTCAATTCTGCTTGTTTCTACGGCAGACAGCCAGTGAAAACGAAATTGTTTAATAAAATTATGGAAATGCAAGCCCTACTTTAATAACAAACAGAACTTTGTCATTCTTTGCTCATTTTTTCCTGACTGAGGTGTCATATGAAAGGGCAGAAATTCATTTTTCTAGAAATGTGATTTCTCTTTGAAATTCAGGTCTGTTGATGTTGCAACGCAGACAGCAATCTCAAAAGTGCACACATAATTCTAGAAACAGTCTTTGTCCACAATGGCCTAGTTTGTGGAGATTTAAAAATTATTTTGAAATGTGATATTAGATCCATGATTTATCATATTCTACTGTTTTTCTATACACAAACTTAATTGGTTCTATTATTACCAAATGGCAAAGCTTTTGACTACGAAAATTTGCTGATCTTTTCGTCAATATTTTAATAATTTTACACGGAATATTGTACATAGAAAATTTCCTTTTTCCATTGGCGGTATCAGATTCTCAAAGTCTTACCGATTTTTAAGAGAGCGAATTAAGGTCACACACAAACTATATGGTCACACTCACCATCCATACATCTAATTTATTTAATAAGTCTGTTAGTGTTACTGTAAGACAATATCATAAACTTATAAAGGATCAATATATGATGGTATAAGACTATAAGTGCTATTTGATGCATACTTTTTGTAAATCATCCATGAAAGGCAAAGTATGTTGAGCTTGAGCATCCGGACACCTCGCGGCCCACTCCATTCCAGCAAAGCATAGAGAGTCAATGCTATAATGCGTATTGACCTCTAGCACTGCATACTTGCTGTGAGGCAGGTATTATTAGACCTGGGGCGGTATTCTGAACCCTGTGTTATCTCTAATATTGTTGTATCTTTGAAGATAAGATAAAGTTGGTATTCTGAACACTGTTGTAACTTTTGTGTTATCTTTTGTTGTATCTTTTCTCTCATCTCATTGGCCGCGCCTGCGCTCATAGTTTGGTGCGCTTGTAATTGTGCGTATTATTAATAAAGTGGCGTTTAATCCTCATTTGCATATGCGCACGAGAGATAATATGTCGAGATAATTGGTATTCTGAAAGTTGTTGTATCTTTTATCTTATCTTATCTTGCATGGTATTTACAACAATATTTACAACAGGTAGGGGGTTGTTGTATCTTTCGTTGTGATATAATGGCGGCAATATTTCTTGCCCAGAACCGGAAACATCACAGATGAGAACTTTCTAAGAAATTACATGCTAGGATATGACGATTTTCATGCTCTCATCTTAACCAATATGGTGAAAGCGTGATTTGTCTTCATGATCCACATTCAACAGCGCATAATGATGACGCGCGTAATAAGTGCTCTAATAACTAATTACGCTCAAGATTAGTATGCGCTAGGCTCATCTTTAGACATGGCCTAAATTATTCCTATTGGTTGACCTACTTATAATGCTTATATAAAACAGATTTTGATTAGTAGGGTCCATACATATGGGCGTGTCAATAGTGGTCAAAGATAAGATAGAGGCGGTCCTTCGAGAGATAACACAGGGATAAAATGATGTTCAGAATACCAACTTACAACAATATTAGCGCTGTGTTATCTCTGGAAGATACAACAAAAGATAACACAAAACTTACAACAATGTTCAGAATACCACCCCTGTACACAAATATACACACCACACAATATTGCATAGACTGCACACAATCATGCCGATGCGGCTGAAGCTGTAAGCAAAGTTTGACAGTAGACTTACAATTTGAATTTTTAAACTATTTTTTTTAACATCAGTAAGTTAACAAAAGTGTTTTACAGCTATTTAGGTGTCATCAATTGTCCCTAAAGTACCGATTTTGAGTGTACCATGAGTGTTTTGTACAGTGGTGTTTGATAATCAAAAGCACAGCTTTTACTACACAGCCAGAAAAGTGATGCTCCTATGTGTGTCGCCGGCCGCCCTCCCTCCGGCCTCCCAGCTCCCAGTCCCATGATCATGCATTATTTTTTCAGTTTAATTAAATTATGTTCTGTCTAGTTACCTCATATCTCTCGAAGTGAAGATAAGGTAGCAAGGTCAGAGAACAAGCTGGTGATCGGCGATGGAATGGAAAGATTGCTAGTTTTCCGACAAGATCGCACTGGTGCACGCACGATGTCAATGGGATCCTATTCAAGCGTCGCGCAAGATTACGCAATAGTGTTTACAGTAACACCTAACCAGCTGAAAATAAATGGATAACTAGTCTCAGATCCAACGTTGCACGTTTACATTACAATTATTTTCCATTTTTTATTAAAGGAATATTGTAAAAAAGCTCAAAATTATATATTTTTACAGGATCATATTAAATATTTATAGGTAATTAGCATTTATTTATTTGCAAAATATTGTATAATGTCAGGATAAAATGTTTTGGGATTACCATACCGATGATAAATTACAGAGGCTTGGGCAGTACTGTAGTGTCATCAGTGATGTTAACGTGTGAGTGGATTTAGATCTAGATCTACATTAGTCATTTCCTAAGGATTCAGCCCATTCTAATTTGGAAGTATTGTTGCTATGATAGAGCATCATGGCTTCTCCAAATTTTATTGAAAATTTAGAACTTCAGATATCAGAAATTGAACTCCTTGATAGCATGTTTCCTGGAGATGGCGAGTTTTGCCTCGATGACCCTAGCGTGCTGTCCGACGTACAGACTTTCGTAGATAAATCCGCCGAGTCTACAGGCGTAGCCGATCAAGGAATTTCTGGTAACTCAGCCTCGGGGAAAGGAGGCACGGGCGCAATCAGGCAACTGTCGTTTTCTATCAAGATTTCTATCAATGATCAGCATAATGGGATTCCAAATGTAAGTTTGAGTATTTTGTTACTTTTTTTCCAAGGACCAATGAGAGGAGGTTTGCAGATTATTTTTAAGTGGTATCTAATCTAGTCATTCCTGTACGCGTACGCAATGTTAATAACTAGACATGTAATACTTGTTTGGAACAAGTATAGGTGGGCTGGTCAACTAAAATTTGAGACAAAATAGAGCAAAAATAAGCGAGATACTGCTTAAAAATTCTTAAAAAACAATATCATGTAGATTCATGACTTCACCTTCTATAGGCATAACACCCGAATTATGAAATTTCTGACATGAGGCCTTTAATCAAAATTTTCACTATGATGACGTCATCAAAATTAAAATTGGTGTCTATTGAGCTTGTAGAAAATTGTCTTAGCTACAACATATCAACATTTGAGAGAAAATCGATCAATATTTACAGAGATACAATCAATGTTCCATAAATATGCTGACGTCATAATATTCAAATTCGTATTTTGAGTTCCAAGGCCATTATGATGACGTCATAGTATTTGTAATGGCCAAATGAGACATGAAATCATATCTCCGACTCACACTCTATCAAAATATGAAAAAAAAATATTGGTTTCCAGTTGCATTCTACAGAGCTATAATGGATTTTGTATATGCCTGTTTTTGCCCATATATGCTATGTATTAAAAGAGCTCGCGCGCACGGACATTTATCTTGAATGGACGCTCATCTTGTTATTAATGGTCATAAAGAGATAAACGTGGTATCAAATTGTTCAAAAGAATATAAGAAATATCATGTAAGAAAAAAAATGCGATTTTATGTTGTGTAATAGTTTTACGCGCGAAAACGCCCGCGCATGCGCGTGTGCGCGATTTTTTTATAAAATGCTTAGAATGGCCTAAAACGTATGCAAAATGATTTTGAGACGATTTTGAGCATTTTAAAATTTTGCGCGCGCATTGGCGCGCGGACGTACGCGCACGCGCGTTTTTTGACATGAAATTGACTGAACTGATATTGACCTTGATCATGGAAAATATGAATAAGAAAAAACTTTCCGTTATGAAGATATGATCATATGTTGATTTTCACAAAATGGTGCCTAGATGACGTCATCAGTCAAGGTCAAGGTTAAAAAATTTGCTGTGCTTTGTTTATATGCCTACACATATGTATGCCAAATTTTAAGATATTTGATTGAGCCATTTTCAAATTATCTTGTCCACAAAAAAGTGGGTCGAAATAAGAAAAATAAATAATAAATAAATAATAATAAAGGCAATTTTAACAAAATTATAAGGTGGTCTGTATTAGATACAGCCCACCTAATAAATAATAATAAAGGCAATTTTAACAAAATTATAAGGTGGTCTGTATTAGATACAGCCCACCTAATAAATAAAGGCAATTCTAACGAAATTATAAGGTGGTCTGTACGTTATACAGCCCACCTGATAAAGAAAGAAAATTCTGACGAAAACAATAGGTAGTCTGTCGAAGACAGACCACCTAATAATAATAAAGAAAATCCTTCAAAGTTCTAGAAAATGTGCAATTTCAACTTTCGATTGAAAATTCCGACATGATCCCAACATCTGATCAAAAAACAAAGTACACCGGTTTTGTAGCCCATGGTCTCAGCTATAACATACCAAAATTTGGGATAAAATAGAGCACGAATAAGCGAGATAGTGCTCAAAGATTAATGCCATGTAGATTCACGATGTGGACGAAATTCACCTTCCATAGACAATACACGCAAATGAAGAAAATTCTGACATGTCGCCTTCAATTGAAATTTTCACCATGATGACGTCATCAAAATGAAAAACAGTGGACACTGATCTTGTAGAGAATTGTCTCATCTAAGTTTGGAAGTAAATTATTTAAAATTTACAGAGATACAATCAATTTTCCATATATATGATGACGTCATCATATGCAAATTCGTTTTTTGAGTTCCAAGGCCATTGTGATGATGTCACGATACACTTAATGGCCAAATGAGACATGAAATCATATTTCCGACTCATACTCTATCTAAATATGAAAAAAGATTGAGGATCCCGGTGCATTCCAAAGAGCTATAATGGATTTTCTATAGGCATGTTTTTGCCCATATATGCTATGTATTATAAGAGCTCGCGCGCACGGATATTTATCTTGAATGGACGCTCATCTTGTTATTAATGGTCATAAAGATATGAACGTGGTATCAAATTGTACAAACAAATATATGAAATATCATGAAAGAAAAAAAAATGGCGATTCTATGTTATGTAATGGTGTTACGCGCGAAAACGCGCGCGCATGCTCGTACGCGCGATTTTTTATGAAATGCTTAAAATGGCCTGAAACGTATGTAAAATAAATTTGAGACGATTTTGAGCATTTTAAAATTTTGCGCGCGCACTAACGCGCGGACGTACGCGCACGCGCGCGTTTTTTTACCTGAAATTGACCGGACTGATATTGACCTTGATTATGATAAATATGAATGAGAAATGACTTTTGGTTATGAAGATATGATCATGAGTTGATTTTCAGAAAATTTCACAAAATGGCGCCTAGATGACGTCATCAGTCAAGGTCAAGGTTGAAAAAATGTTTGTGTTTTGTTCTAATGCCTATACATATGTGTGCCAAATTTCAAGGTATTTGATTGAACCATTTTCAAGTTATCTTGCTCACAAAAAAGTGTGTCGAAATAAGAAAAATAAATAATAAATAAATAATAATAAAGGCAATTTTAACAAAATTATAAGGTGGTCTGTATTAGATACAGCCCACCTAATAATAGTGATAGAATTAGAAATACATGTACAGTAGATCTAGACAGTGGCGGATCCAGGGAGGGGGGGGGGGACCTGGAGGGCCCCAGCCCCCCCCCCCCCTTGAGAAAAAAAACATGTAAAAACACATTTTAACCTTTTGGGGGGTTGTGCCCCCCCCCCCTGACATTTCTTAAATCCAGGGCATCATTTTACAAAACCATGCAAGTGCATGCAGTTTGCCGTCATCCCATTGAAAATGTTTAGAAACATTAAACATGCATGTCGATGGGATGTCTGTCAACTTCAAAACTTGTACTTCTTTCATTTAATACACGATTCGTAAAACAATGCCTGAAAATATTGTTTTGGCTGTTGTACATGTTAGTTGGCAACATTATCAATTCTCTTTCTATTTACTTTGTTTTTTAAATCAATATCTTTTGAACTCAGATCGATCTGGATCTCCAGTGCTGCCTTCCTTTAGACTATCCCAATGTTCTACCAGAACTTAACGTCCAATCCAATGTACTGTCAAGACAGCAGTACAGAATACTCAACGATGATCTGATGGAGCACATAGAGAGCCTAGACAGAGGAGAGCTGTGCATTACAGAAGCTGTCCAATGGCTCCAGGAAAATGCCTCTTGTTACCTGAAAACTGCAGAAGTTCCTAGCCAAGGGAACGTGAAGGAGCAAAGCAAGAAAAAACAGCAGCCCTCATCTTTCACTCGTCTCTGGATACACAGCCATCATATATACAGCCGATCAAAACGGGAGGACATCTTTGCTTGGTCCAAGGAGAGAGGTCTCACAGGGTTTAGTCTTCCAGGAAAACCGGGCATTATTTGTGTCGAAGGATCCCAAGGGGATGTGGACGAAATCTGGCATAAACTCCGGAGATTAAACTGGAAAAAGCTGACCAGCAAGCACAGAGAAGATTTTGCCCTTGATGCTGATGACACAGAACTCTTCAGTACGAATTTCAGTCGTCTCAGGCATTTCTCAGATTTTCAGGAGATTAATTTTGCTGTGAGGGGTTCTCGGGACTACCACATGGACCTAGGACAGTTTTTCCAATATCTTGAAAAGCACGACTGTGCTGATGCATTCAAGATTTTATTGGGAGTAGATGGAAGGGTATCTCAAAAGGATACAAGTTGAAACTACTTCTTCTCCAGCTGTAATTTACTAAGTACATGTAGTTTGAGAGATGAGGATGTTAATTGAATTTAAATTCTTTAAATAGTGCAATTTGCACTTTGGCTCAAAGACATGTTCATTTGATTCTTTAGCTCTTGCTGAAAGACAGAAGGCCTAATATCATTAAATAAATGTTTTTATTTTTAAAATTCATGATATTTTTCAACCAATGAATACCATATGTCTTGTTTAGAAACAGAAAGGCATTAACTCCGTGTAAGATGATATAAATAAGTGCCTTTCTGGCTCCAAACAGACATTATGTCATATCTCTGTATTGAGATATATCGCAATGATTTATTATTTCAGATTCATAACATGACAAACCTACCTCAAATAATGTATTTTGTTGCTGGAAGAAATTTCAATATACTCTTTTCCCCCTAAAACAGGCTCTTTTATTTATTTAGAACTCAATTGTAAATACATTATTCTATGTCACATCATCTTAGTGGCAAAGCATTATGTTACCTGAACACTTTTCCAATGGTTTCAAATTTAGGTCAATCTGGTTAAGAAGTAAAAACATGAATGCGACAAACAATACTTGACATTGATGACCTACACTGTACATTGCGCACTGGCATACATTTTGAATCTCAATTTGTTTTAAATATATTTCATGATTACAATTTTAACAAATACTTTTTTAGTTCAAAACGGGTCTTCCAATCCATACCCAACACCCAATGTTGATAGATCTAGCCCTGCTAGGGTAGAATGAAATGAAATTAAAACCTGAAACTTTTGAGAACTGAACCTCAATTAAGTTACACTTCATTACTTTTTTCCAATGGTCGAAACTCTCCTACTGTGAAAATTGCCATCCTTACCTGTTTGTGAAGGTTTCATGTTGCAAAAGTTTCTAGTTTTACACTTAGTAAATGGACACTCTCAGTGTTGGTCATGTTCATTATTTCATCGTACTTGGTCAAGTTTGAGATATAGGGGGCCCATTATTTTTGGATACTGTGCATGTGGATAGATGCTTACCATAAAGTTACATGTACATGAAAGAACCAAATTATACCGACTCTTATGCAATGCATCCCGACCAACGCACTTTTCCGTTGTTTCTTTTATCAAAAGATGGAAGTCTCTTGATGTGACCACTGATTCATGGAAGTTATATTCAAATAATCATTTTTCAATGGCCATTTCAAGGAATTTTCTTATTTTGATGAAAATAAATGATAGATAAAACATAAAATGCACAGAATTTTCCATCGTAGAAACTACCATCACATCTGTATTTTTGTCAGGTTTCAGAGGACAGTACATCCCACATGAAACTCCTCAAACTAGGTTGAATAAAGATTGAAAAACTAGACATACCCGTTTGCAACTGATCCAGTGTCTTTTGTGTCTCTTCTTCGTGACTTCTCTTTCTTCTGGACAATCTGTCATTTGTTATTGGGTTGTCGGGATGCTCCTGTATCTTCTCCATGTTGTTTCTGCTTGATTTATCTGCATACTGAACTAGATTTTGTAGCACCTTCTGCACTTGAGTGGAACCTGAATGATGAATAATCATTTTTCAATATTTTATTGGTAATTTTTGTTCTAAGATGTATTTAATTTCATAAATATTGAACATGTAATTATAAATAACATATAAATGTACTTTCACTGACCCAATCATATCACACCAATCGTATACCTTGGATATACATGTCTATATTTTAATTGTAAAGCACTAACACCTAACACAACTCACAACAATATAATACAGAGAAATGGGACAGGCAAGATTATTCTATTGAAATGATTATGATAAAGATTCACAAACAAAATTACAATGTATTTCAGCTATATTTTTTCTGTATTACACAAATTAGTGAATGTATACATAATAACATAAATCATGATAACACGTTTATAGTGTAATAATTATTAAGAAGATAACACACCTGAAAATCCACTGCCAGAAAGGAATCTGTCTTGTCCATCTGTTATGACAGGTGAGACAAACTGGTCAACGGGAATAGAATCCACTTGTTTCACTATTCCAAGCATCACCATGGCAATGACTATGGTAGCCATGTTCTCTTTTGTTTCTGATATAGAATTTAAAAAGAGAGTACAAAGTTAATCATAGGCTTTTGGTATATAGGAGAGACACTTTCATTCTTTCTATAGAGACCTCAAAATGAACATAATGAAATCGATTTATAAAGTCTATGATCACAGCTAAGAAGTTGATGTACTGTATGAAGATATAGGAGCTTGTAAAAAAACACATCACTACATCATTTATTAAATGAATTACTCGTAAAATTTTGCAAGTGTATTTGCAATGTGACACAGATTTGTACTTTATGTTCATTATAGAATATAATTATGAACGTGCATGTTTACTTGATTCGAAATTCAGAAGATGGCTTTAACAAAAATGTCTTCTTACCGATCAGATGTCCTGAATGCTATTTCATGATATGTCGATGTCTGTCTGATGAAAGATCTGGTGAATGATGACCGCCAAAATAAACATCTACAAAATAGGAACCAACCTTGAGGTTCGGCGGGAAATTTGAAGCAGTTTTGTGTGGAAATGAAGCCGATTGCGGTGCAACTAGAGCAGTGATACCTGACGAAGAAGCGACTCGATGAGGAATGCAAGATAATAAAATGAGATTCCGATGCAGCTGATGAGCACTGGAATCCTCTTCACTGATTGGAGGTTTCTTTCTGTTTTGGTTTGCTTCGTTGAGCTCATGTTATTTGCTAATAACATCCCTTGATACTCAAAGATTTTGGGGTCACGTCTTTGAAGCCCTGGTCCCACGTTTCCAAGAACGGTAACTGCAAATAATTACAATGTTCATATAATAAAAAGGCCAACACCATATTTAAAAGTAAAACACGACCGATTTATGAAAGACCGGACAGATCAGGGATAAAATATGGAGGTGGTGGAATGATTGCCCTTAAACAAAAAATCCATCTTCTTTCAAAATCAATATGGTTTTTGAAAAATATTATATTTTGCAATGTTGAAAGAGAAATAAGTCTCTGGTAGCGTATACATAACTGGTTTTGTCATTACTTTAAGTGTGTTTCATCTGAGAGAAATTTGAGGAAAAATATTATCCTCCCTGACTGACATCGTCTAGAGAAAAATATTTACGAAGTGATATAGTTATGTCATTTTCAAATATTTGTCATAGTTTGCGTTGATTAGCAATAACGATTCTAAACAGTATCTTTGATTAGATGTGTTATTTGTAGTTTTCGTCAGTGTTGGCTACGTTCTACGTGGGACCGGGTCGGAAGAACGTCATTGTCCTTTCTTTCAAAGAGAGTGTAGAACAGTGGTGATGAAGAATGGTGGAGAATAGATCACCATGACAATGCTATATACGGTTGAAGGATTCGTTGTGAGAGGAAAGCAGTCAAACAAGTCGCGATACACGAACTTTCGTGAAACAAAAGCAGAAGACCTCGCGAACTTTCGTAGATTTGCTGCAGGTTTTTCACCACAAAAATAGTGTCGGGTAAATTGGACCAGACTATTTTTAGATAAAGAACTATAAACAATAGATCACTATATAACAATGCGGTTGAAGGATTCTTTGTTAAAGGATCGAAGTCAGTCAAACAAAGATAACATTTCTCTTGGTGTCACTGTCTTCGTGACAACTTGCAATGACCCCATAACTTCCACAAAAAAGTCGTTCCGTTCCACTGACTTCGATTCGATTGAAATGGACCTCCGTATCCACAAATTTACAAACGGGAGAAGGTAGGTTGATTGAAACTGACTGCTTACAGTGACAGGGAACCCCCCCCCCCCCCCCCCCCCTTAGACACTCTGCGAGTAACGCTGGCTTTTCTTTCAATATACTGGTACCATCTTAATGGATACGACATTTATACAAGGGCGGATATTGGACCGTCATTCGGAACAGGAATTTCGATATCACATGCAGACCCACTTTAGCAGTAGGCCTATATAACTTTACCAACCTGCCTGCGAAATACAAATCAGCCAGCCCAAAATGAGACCACATCTATTGGACCCCCCCCCCCAAAAAAAAAAAAAAAAACAAAAACAAAAAAAAAATCCTTTACCAGTCCTCTCTTCACAAAGCCTTGCAACTCATTATAAAAATGTTGACTGGGCGTCCACTTGTTTAGAAATCCTGACTAGGTTGTGCCGTTCACCTACAGTTTATATAAGGGGCAATGCCCGGTAGCCATAGCATTCACAGGCCAGAATCTTCCAGCCAGAAATTACATACACTTAATTTGGTACTAAGCCTTTAGGGCTTACAGACGAAAAAAAAAAAAAAACAGCACCTAACTGGACAAAGCCTTATAAATAGTTTGTAAAAACTCTGACTGGGCGTGCTGTTTACCTACTGTTTAAGGGACAGGGCCCGGTAGGCATATCAACAGGGGAAGAGTCCCCTCTCCTGTGATTTTTTGTTTAATTAGGGATAGTTCCCCCCTCCCACCCCCACCCCCGAAATGTTCAAAATGTAAAAGAAATATATATATTTATAATGAATAATGAGTAAAGGCTGCAACACAGTATTTAGTTAGTTTCTGAAGTGCTTTAAAATACATTAAGTTTCATTATGTCTCAAACGGATGCACCTTACAATATTGTGAAGGTATTACAAAGGCCGAGATTCTCCTCTGCTTTACAAGTGCTACACAATGGAATCTCCCGATACGTATTACAATTCAAGGGCGGTGGTGGATGCTCCTCCCTTGAAATATTTCAGGCACCGCCTAGAATGGCCTGGAGGGGTCATTGACATGTGTAAAACTCCGCAATGTAATTTCGGAAATATTTCTGAACCGCATAAAAAACTAATAAAGATATCTACGTTTTAGATTTAGGGTATACGTAATCATCGCGAGCGCAAGCGGTCACGAAAACCAGCGTGTTATATGTGCGCTGTGATTGGTTGAAAGTTTTTACTGTGCCGTGTGCAACAATGAGCTCGAAAGTACGTGTAGTGAATACAAGAGTAGGGATCATGGAGGGATCCAGAGGGAAGGAGGTCCTCCGTAAATTCCAATATAAATGCATTGTAAATAAATGATGAGTGCGCCGCTATCTATACTGTTTGAGCTTTCAATCATAATTATACGCAGTGGAAATTTTCCATAAATTCAGAATAGGGAAATCTTGTCCGGTCGCTGTGCTCTAGTCACGCATGATAAGAACAAAGTGCTTTAATATAATACTGCCAGATATGTAAACGATAAGTATGACAAATTCAAAGTTTTCAAGAATGATTGAAATGACCCACAACGGGGGTCCGTCAGGGGCGATGGACAATCTCCATGGTTGGAGACACCGACATAACATGAAAAGTTGTAAGTTTTGAGGGAAAGGTGGCTCAAAAAAAGAAGGAATTACCGGGGACTATTTTTCCATCCGGTTTCCACTTCGAAAATGATTAGGGCACTTCAGTCGAATAATTAAATTTTGAATGAAGCAAAATGCTCTCTCTTGATATCCAGAGCATGGGAAGGGTACGTTAAGGCAGTGGCGGATCCAGGGGGGCCGAAACGGCCGCGGCCCCCCCCCCCCCCCCCCCTATTGGCGGCGCAAAAAAAAAAGAGGAAAAAAAAGAAAGGAGAAGAGAAAAAAAAAGGAGAAGAGAAAAGAAAGGAGAAGAGAAAGAAAAGAGAAGAGAAAAGAAAGAAGAGAGAGAGAAAGAAAAAAGGAGAAGATACCCCCCCCCCCCCAACCTCACTCCCACTCCGGGGTCGGAGGGACCGATTTTGTGTTCCCAAAATTTCCGATAAAGGGTTACTTTTCACGCAACAAAGTCCGGCCCGTAATACACACAAATCCGGCCCGCACTGACTTTACACACCGAAGATAAAGGGGTGCTTTCAAACTAAGAGAGGGAACATACATGCGCGTACCCTAGTTAACACTGAGTGGGTGGGGGGGGGGGGGTGGGAAGGGGAAAAAAAGTCGGGTGAGAAAGGGATTCAGCTCATACCAACTCGCTTGTGCTTATATTTGAACTCATGTTGGTAGTGATAATGGACAGCGGCGGCGATCCTGGGCCCGATAGAGGGACAAGTCCCCCCGGAAATTTAGATATATAGCTAGAAAAAAATATACATGTAGCGGAAAGAACGTACATATTGGACTAAAGGATTTCTAGAATGCATAATTTCAGCATTCTACATTGCAAAATCTCGCTTGGTCGCTACGCCCCGGCCCTCGCCCGATAACACAAAACTAAGATATGACGCTCCCGGTCGCGATTATTTCATGGTTGGTGTATAAATAGATCTTTTTTCCCCTTTCATTTCTACTGACCTAATTGTATGCTATCACAATCATGTTTGTTTCATTTTCCATTTAAAGCATGCGTAGCTAGGGGCGGTAGGGGCAGTAAGAGGACATAGGACGAGAAAAGGAGCAGACAAAGAAACATTTTTGACAAGTCTAAAACGGTACAACAAAACATCTTATTTCTCTAATAATTTAATGAAACATTAAGCTTCTACGCTTTGCGCTGGAGGGGGAAACTGAATCCAGAGAAGGATTAAGAGTCGGGAATGGAACAACGAATTATTTTCTTTCTCTAATAATTTCATTAAACTATGAAAGGTCAAAGCTTCCGCGCCTCGCGCGGAAGGGGGAAAATGAATTCGAACAAGGATTAGGAATCGAGAATGGGACAACGAATCACCTTCTTTCTCTAATAATTTAATGAAACGTTAAGCTTCTGCGCTTTGCGCTGGTGGGGGGAATCTGAATTCAGAGAAGGATTGAGGGTCGAGAATGGAACAACAAATTATCTTCTTTCTCTCATAATTTAATGAAGCGTCAGAAGCTTACCCGCTACGTGCGGGAGGAGGAAAACTGAATTCAGACAAGGATTTAGAGTCGAAAATGGAACAACGAATCATCTTCTTTCCTAATAATTCAATGAAACGTCAAAGCTTCCGCGCTTCGCGCGGAAGGGGGAAAACTGAATTCAGACAATGATTAACAACCGAGAACGGTACAACGAATCGTCTTCTTTCTCTAATAATTTAATGAAATGTCAAAGCTTCCGCGCTTCGCGCGGGAGAGGGGGGGGGGACTCAATTCAGACAAGGATTATAGAGTCGAG